GAGAGAGAGAGAGAGAGAGAGAGAGAGAGAGAGAGAGAGATGCTTCACAGGCACAGAGTTTCTCCTGTTTCCTGCCAAGCAAAGCAAACTGCCAGTGTGCTTCCTGCTGCAGGGTCTGAATAGGGGATAAATGATAAAAAGCATTTCATCAAGCTGCTGCTTGTTAAAACCATTCCCGAAACCCTTTCATGGCATAGTGTTTGCGAGTTCCTGTGACCACGTGATCAGAAACGAGCCTCTCTTTCTGCTTTCTATGTTAAAAAGCACTTTTATGCATAAGTCATTTGGATGTTTTAGTAGCCCGGTGGCAGCTGGACACTTGCAATTATAGTAGTGACAAGATCTTGCTTTGCAGGGTATAACCGGCATCCGTTTTGCTGGAGGAGAGAAATGCTACATTAAAGCCCAAGCGAAAGCTCACATTCCCGAAGTCAATGCGATGACAAAAGAGAGTCTCTCTTTTGACCTGGTAGGTAGCCTGACCCCCAGTTACACCTTAATGTCCAGGACAGTTCTCTGCAAAGACGGAGCTCTGAGAAGGAGAAGGGGGTGTCAGAAGTACTGCAGTATGAGGACTGCTTCCTGTTCTCCAAGGAGCTCATTTGAAGAACAGGTGTGTGCTTGTTTTGGAAAGGTCTTAAAATAGTACACCTTCAAATGTTGGAAGGCTGACCTGCAGACAGTGGAATGGCAATTGTTTACTTCCATGGGATTCCTCGGAGGGGTCTTTAAAATATACTGGGTGAACATCAGTGAGGCTTGGTTTAAATTTTAGAGAATTCTCCCCTAGAATATGAGGTTAGACTTTATTACTCTAGAGATCAATTTTATGATGCTGTGAAAGATTTGGTTTGCGCTGCGTTCAGCTTCCAGTTCCACCGTTGAGTTAATATGATGGTTCTGATTAAAAGCCTTGTTCAGTAAAAGCAATTATATTGACCAAAAGCTTGAAGTGCAAGTTAAAAAGAGCCTTCGTTTTGAAGTGCACCCTAAAGGCTTTTCATTCTCATCTTCAAAGGAATGTAGGAAAATGGCACTGATTGAACTAGAAACTTTAAAGAATCCAACTATTATTTTTACACAAGAGAAGCTTGCCTTTCCTTAACTGCAATGAAGAAAAAAATAACTCAGAAGGTGTATGGATCCACAGGGTAAAATTCAGAATGGCCTCTGCCAAGAAGTCTGTGGGATTTGGTGTAGGTGCCTCACTAGATCAATTTTATTTAGCCAAGTTTATTTTGGACAGTGTCATTATTGATTTTGTAACTGACTTTATGCTCTCAAGCTAGTGAGATTTTTTAAGAGGTTTCATTTGTATCTTCCTCTCTTGCCATTTTTGGAAGGTATTTGTGATGGCTTTTTGGAAATAAAAATACCTGGATGGTAAAGAAAATCACACTGTCTCAGATTAGAGATAAATCCCCTTTTGATTTCTATAAACGCTAGCTTAATTGGCTATTTTATATTCAACATTTGCTATAATGAAATGTGAACCAGGACATTTATGACGTAATCTTGTTTGCTCCTTTTACTAGATGCTCAGACATTACCATAATGTAATGCTAAAGCTGTGCAGTTAGTTGGAAGAGTCATGAATTGAGAAAAGTGCACTTGCTTCAGCAGCCGCATTATGTTTACTAAATTACCCATCCTGGGCATTGATCCTTCAAGCAGTGACAACTCTGGGAATTGCAGAAAAATGGGCAGTGAAGAGGGCAGTCTAGAAAGCCAAGCAGGGGGGATATGAAAACGTTGCAGCTGTGGAACATGGCCACTTGGTCCATGCCAAGATGCGGAATGCTTCTTCTGACTTTCTGAAAATGACTGGGTGGAGATTCAACACTGAATAAGCAGTTGCTTCTGTTCTGCATCTTTCCCCGACCGGGCCCCTTCCAGACAAGCTGGACTACAACTATGGAAGTGCAGTCCCACTCAGCTGGTGGGGAAGCCTGTGCTCCTGAGCCCCGCGTCTGTTATCCCGTTAAAGATGGGTGCTGCTTACTTGGCCAAAAGGCAGCTGATGGATCAATTAAGAAACTGATTAAGACTGCAGCCCTGCATTCTCTTGTGCAGGCCCCGCTGAACCCAATTAGTCAATTCAGAGATGGCGGGCACTGCGAATGTAGCTATATGTGAATTGCACCGTACATCTACATGTGACCCGTACATGCATTTTTTGGGGCAGGAGGAACTAATTTACTACCGAATCAACCGAAAAAGTTGCCAATGGTGGTGAGATGGAAACAGCATCTTTCACATTTCCGTTTTCACCTGCTGTCAGAGCAGCATCCACACCAAGTCCAAGGAGGCTTTGGGAAATAATCGGATGTGCTCTTAATCCGCAGCTCAACGTTTTCCCACGCAGATTAACTGTGGTCCCGTCAGCTGGGCTGAGGCTTAATAAATCAGTGTCTGGATTTCAGGGCCTCTCTTCTGTCTTGGAGCAGTGCTGGATCCCTGAAGCCCCCCTGGGTGAGTCCGCGCCACTGCAGGAATGGTGGCCATGTGGTGGTGGGCAGGTCCTCGCGATCCCCCGCCCCATCCTGATTTTGCAGTCGCCGTCACTCTTCTCAGGTGGTTCTACTCCCCTTTGGTGGCTTCCCCTTTTCTCAGTTGCCAGGATGGCAGAGAGAGTGAATCCACACGCACGCTGTTCTCATCATGCAAGAACTGGCCCCCAGTAAAGACATCCCGATAAGAAAAGAACTGCAAGAGCAATTTAGAAAAAAATATCTATACTGGTTATTTATTTACTATCCCGCCCCTCTGTCAACACTGGCATCCACGATGGGTAAAATAACATCCGGATTGCCAGCAAAAGCCCAATTATAGCAGAAAACAGTACTTTAAAAACCATCCAAGCACAACAACAACACAGTAGACTTTCTCCATTCAGACTGTGCCCCTGGACCTTCTGGAAGGCATCAGCGACCTTTGAGCTGCACGCTGGACAAGATGCACAGATATTTGACTTGCACAGGCATTTCCTTCTGAAAGGAGTGTGCAGATGTGTCACACAGATACAAGCACACACTATTCATGCCACACGCCAGCTGGGTTCGGGGAACACAACAAACCATGATAGTTTGTTATCATTCTTGGCTCCTGGTGCTTTCCAAACCCAGGCTTGGCATTCTGTATGGTAAGTTTGGTCTTTAGAAACTACGACAAGAAACAGTGGTGTGTTCTATGGTTTTGCTGTACCACCATGGCTTGTCATGTTGTCTGAACCCAGGATCGTGTTTCCATGGTCCTGGCAGGCAGCAATCATAGAGTCCTCTGGAAAGAGAGGTGACTGCACAAGCCATTCCTGCTGTCCAGTCTCTACTATCCTTCTCTAGCTAGTAACGGGCCCATGAGGAAGAGGCAGGTGATGTAAAATAGAAGCGAAGCATCTTGGCTTGAACTTCAGGCATGGTGGCTGATGGGATATGTGCCAGCAGCAGGAGGACTCAGTGAGGAAACCATGACAACATAGAAAACACTTGACTGTCTGATGGGAGGATCAGAATTAAAAAAAGGAACTGTGGTTACTTGTATCGTGTGAATCCAGCCACTAAGTTGTGTTTAGGGGAGAAGAGGGAAGCCCATAATTGTGGCAATGGAGCCTGTGTTCTGGGGAAGCTGGACAGCCCTCTCTCAGGGATGCTTGACTTGGGAGTCCTGCACTGAGCCAGGGGTTGGGCTCAGGGCCTTCGGGGCCCTTCCAGCTCTCCTGCCCCACGATGGCCCCTGAATGTCAAAGCACACTTCTTCTGAAGCAACATAGGAAAGCTGGGATATATCACCCCAGGGCCGAGGGGACACTGGATCCACCGGGGACAGCATCCTGGCCACACACATCTTTGAAGTTGAGTCTCTTTTTCCAGTAGAGCTATTTCATTCTTCTCCTTGAGGTTGATATGATCAGCTAATACTACCGCTACTTCTAGCTCGTGGCAGTGGAAGAGGAAAAGGAACCTAAAGCATAAAACCCCTGAGTGGAAAGCAGGCCTGCCCTCGGTCATTGCCGATCGTTTGGCGATTATCCACATCTCATCTGCTATGCGACTGAGCCATGCGCTGCGACTTCTGTCCATCTGCTGCCCGCAGGTCTCTTTATTCTTTACTGTCTACCCACAGGAAGATGAAGTTATGGCAGCTCAATTCGATGAAAACTCCCTGGTGTGGGTTGCTGCCGACCAGCCCATAAAGAACAGCAATTTCCTGAGTCCTAAAATTTTAGAGCTCTGCGAAGATCTCCACATTTTCTGGCTTCGACCTTCCTATCCGAAAGGTAACTTCTCCCCCACAGAGGCCTTCAGCCCTGCTCAGCTGAGGACTTACATCAGCTCTGATCGTGCAGATTGGGTGTATTCCATGCAGCGGCGCTTTTGCCGGTCCGGGTGCGTATCCATATCGCAGCGCTTGCGCCGTCGCTCGGTATCCTCTGTCCCAAGTCTCAGCTGTCCTCCAAGATCTCTGGAGATGCATTACACCATTGGGGCCCTCCAGAAGTTTTGGACACCAGCTCCTATCTGCCCCGCCAGCATGGCCAGGGGTCTGCAGTGCTGGGAACTGTAGCCCAAAGAGTCTGGACCGCCAAGCTGGGAGACTGCTCTAGGGCTTCTGCAGGATGCAAGGACCTTCCTTGTTCCTCTGCCATTGACTGGGGTGTCTCTAGTGCTCAGAGAAGCTTCTAGACGGGGACTTGCAAGATCCGGCCACTAGGGGAAGGGGCCATGTGTCAGGTCTTGGCCTTCCTGCAGCGCATCAAGCGCCTCCAGGTAAAACACCATCTCTCGTGCAGCAAGGCATCAAAATAAATGCACTGGATTTGCCTGGTGGGCCTACGGAGCGCAGTCCCGCGTCTTTAAACTAGCATTTTGTAGAAGCTGCTTCAATGTGCCATGTGCCATGAGCTCTTACTGCAGATGTGCCCCGCGTCTGTCTGTCTGTCTAGCTGGGCAGAGAAGGAAGAGGGGGGCTGCCCGGAAGGCACGCCAGACCCAGCCCGATGCAAACCTGGACAAACTTGAAGCAGCTGCCGAGGAAGTAACGACGAGGCCACGCTCTACCCCACGGGCTGAGCCAAGCAGACCACCCTCAAATGCCACCCAACCTCCTGGGAGAGAGATCAGGCCAGCTTTTAATCCGGATAATCCTTACCATGTGAGTATTGGCTAGTGAAGGCCCTGGTCGCCCGTCCACCCAGCGCTCCGCAGGACTTCCCTGCAGATTTCGGCATGGCCCGTGGTCTAGGACTGCCCAGCAAGCTCCACGGCTGAGGGGTCCCCCTTGGGTGGGTCGGGCCATGCGCTCACGGGGCTCCCTAGGCTCCCTGCAAGATGCACTCTGGAATAGTGAGACTGGGAGGGACTAGTGTCCAAAGCAGCATAAAATCGCCCATGGTATTTCGGGGGGGAAAGGGCATCGAGGCTCCCTTCCCAGCATGCACAGCTAGTGCAGAAGTTTCTAATACAAGATGCCCAGAGTTGCCTCCAGTTCCGATCAGCTTTCTCCATGTAGAGGAGAAAGAGTCGTCCTTGTGCTGAAAGGGAAGGGCCTTTCCCGTCTCACGATCGCGGGGAAAGTTCTTTGGACGGCAGGTGCCTCTCGCTCTTCTCAGCAGTGTTCCAGGCCAATCGTTTGCAGTGGTTTTGTTGCTGGAGTCGCTCTGAACGCAGCAATGGCCCCTCTGCTCGGAAGGGGCCCAGATCCAGTTGCCTGGACAACCACAACCGAATGGCTGAGCAGGACAGGGCTCTTGCCCTGGATGCATGGATGCTGCCATGGATCGAGTGGCTCCTGCCGTCCCAGGTCGTGCCGCCCACGTGCCCTCGTGCACTGGCAAGGCGCTGGCTCTGGGGCGGCTGAAAGCAGTTGGCACTGATGGCCAATGTGGCGACCAGGGAAAAGGGCGTGAGTGAAACGCATCCAGGGGATCCGGCACTTGGCAGGGAGAGAGCTTGGCTGTGCGCAGGTGAGAGACGGATGGGATGGCCAAAGCCCAGCTATCCCAGCTTCTGTACTCGTCCTGTGCCATTTCAATTTACCTCTGAGATAAAATCTAGCACATTGTGATAACAAATGCAATTTGTCAGATAATGCAAGGTACTGGACTGATGAAAAAACATGAATTCAGCAACAGAAAGGAACCTACCTCCAAAAGCACAGCGCTCCTGCGGCTTCTCTCACGTTCTCCCTAGTTCTTCTCTCTTAAATTATGAGAAAACAGCAATGTGCTTTCTTTGTTTAAAAAGCAGGAGTAACTTAAGGAAATACAAGCAGAGTGCAGTTTTGGGTTCCACGATCTTCCTGAGCCCACACTCAAAAGCACCACACAGCCTTATTGTCTGGATAAGTGGAACTTGAGACGTGTTCCGAGGATGAAACCCAGAAGTGCTGGCTATTCCCAAGAAATCCATTGGGAGCAGAAGCTGGGCACAGAAAGGAACAGGCTGGCTGTGTTCGGAATGGCATGTGCAGCAGAGGGGGTGGTTTGGAGATTCAGCATCGTGGCCTCTTTTTGAAGCAGGTGCCTGGCCAACGTTTTCCATGCAATAAAAGCAGGTTGCGTACCTGTAACTGATGTTCTTCGAGTGGCCATCTGTGCATCACACATATGGGTTCTGCGCCTGAGCAGTGCCTAGGCCAGAAGATTAGAAAGCTAACGGTTTTTTGGCGGGAAAACTCTGCTCCCCTCCCCCTTCGTGGTATAAATAGAGCGAAGTGTCCACCATTTTACTCAGTCTTGAAGACCGCACGTTCGCCCTCTAGAGGTTAAGAATAAAAGTAATGAGAAAACACAATTATATCCGAACGGTACCGATGTGAATTATAGTACGGTACCGAGAACAATATCTAGTCAGCGATATAACCCAACGGTACTGATGCAAATTATATTTCGGTACCGAAAACAATAACCACCCAGCGACATAACCCAAATGGTACCGATGCAATTTATAGTACAGTACCAAGAAAAACGAGATCCACTCACCGACACCGAGTGGGGCCACCGACACCAAGTGAATGCACAGTTGGCCACTCGAAGAACATCAGTTACAGGTGAGCAACCTGCTATTCTTCGTTGTGGCCTCTGTGCATCACACATATGGGTGATTCACAAGCTTACCACAGTTGGAGGAGGGAGGTGTCGTCAGCGAAGAACGGACGAGAGAACAGCTCTACCGAAAGAGCAGTCTTGTCTGGCACGAACATCAAGCCAGTAGTGCTTGGCGAAAGTACACGGACCAGCCCAGATCGCAGCTCTGCAGATGTCTTGCACCGAAACCCCTGCGGCAAAAGCGGACGAGGTCGCTACTGCTCATGTAGAGTGGCCACTTGGAAAGACAGATAAATCTATTTTCGATAGCTGATAAGCCAGGACAATAGTCTGGACGATCCAATTAGAGAGTCTCTGAGATGATATTGGTGATCCCTTTTCATGCTCGGAGTATTTAACAAAAAGTCTATTAGTAGTACGAAAAGATTCAGTGCGGGATCTGTAAAAGGCCAAGCAATGGCGAACATCAAGCGTGTGTAGAGCACGTTCTATCGGGGTCAACGGTGATGGAAAGAATGCCGGCAGAACGATGTCCTGATTCAGGTGGAACGGTGTGGCCACCTTGGGTAAAAAGGAGAAATCCATCCGAAGGACGACTTTTTCCTTATGGAAGTTCAGAAACGGTGGGTCTATGCGGAGAGCACAAATTTCACTAGTTCTCCGTGCTGATGTAGCTGCTACGAGAAAGGCAGTTTTCTATGACACCAGGCGTTAGCCCACAGTTGCTAAAGGCTCGAATGGTGGTTTGGTAAGCGCTTGGAGCACTACGGAAAGACTCCACATTGGCATGGCAGGGCGAATAGACGGATGTAAATTTTGTAGTCCCTTACTGAAACGCCGAACCAGCGGTTGAGAGAAGACTGATAATCCATGGCTAGTGCCACGATAATGGGATATAGCGGCTGCATAAACTTTGAGGGATGATGGTTTAAGTCCCTCATGATGCAAATGCAAGAGAGATTGTAAAATATTGGTGACTGAAGCTGTTCCAGGGGAAAAGGAATGGCACTCTGCAAAACAGGAGAATCTTGTCCATTTAGCCATATAGGGACGACGAGTGGACGGTCTCAATGCAGATTCGAGAATCGCCTGAATTTCTCTGTCCGTAGGCATCGGTACCGTGGCAGTTGCTGTCGAATCCGAAGTCGGGGCCGCATATACCGTCTGTTGAGAAAGGTCACCCGTAGGGTGAGGTGTCCCCGATACCGACTCAGTGGCGTGAATCAGGTGATCCGCCATGCTGTCAGCTTCAGAGAGAGTATATCCGGATGACGGATTGCTCCTCCTTGTTGTGTTAACACATGCGGAAGAGTTGGTAGATGAAGGAACGTTCCACTGGACAGCAGCAAAAGAGTGGCAAACCATGGTTGTCTCGGCCACCACGGAGTCACTAGTATCCCCGTGGCGTTGCCCTGGGCTATTTTCGCAACCACTCTTGTCAGGAGTGGGATCGGGGGAAACGCATAAAAAGTCATGTTGCTCCAAGGGACCATAAGAGCGTCCCCCATCAATCCCGGCCCGACACCCGCTCTGGAACAGTATAGGGTACACAGGCTGTTCTCTCGAGTGGTGAACAGGTCCACGTCCAGATAACCCCACAAGTGGAAGAGTTTCTCACAAATTTGTTTGTCCAACTCCCATTTGTGGATTGTTGACATCTGTCTGCTTAATGTATCTGCTTCGACGTTGTCGGTTCCAGCCAGATGAACTGCCATAAGCACGATGTTCCTCGGTATGCACCAGTCCCAAATGTCCATCGATAGGCGTGCTAAGGCTGGGGATTTTGTGCCCCCCTGCTTGTTGATGTAGAAAACTGCCGCTATGTTGTGTGATGCAATTTGGACAACTTGACAGCATAACACAGTCTCGAAAGCCTTGAGGGCGTTGAAAATCGCCAGAAGTTCCAGAAAGTTGATGTTTCCTCGCCTCTCTTGGACCCGAAGTCCCAAACATGCTGCACCCCATCCAAGGAGGGATGCGTCAGTGTACAGTTGTCGTTGGCCGAGGTGGTCGAAACGGGGCGCCGATCGACAGGTTTTCTGTGATGGTCCACCACGTTCAAGTGTGAAGGATTGCAGATGGAATCCGAATCGGCTTGGTGGCAGGATCTTGTTGCAGTTGAAAAGCAGCATTGAAAAACAGTTGTATGGGTCGCATACGTAGTCTGGCATACGGGACAATGGCAATCGCAGCAGCCATATGCCCCAGTAGTCTGAACGGATAAGGCTGGGACCGTTCCGTGTAGCCGAATCCGATGAATGTGGCTGCATAAGGCATTCTGACGTTCCGGTGGGAGGAAGGCTTTTTCCTGCGTCGAATCGAGTCGTGCCCCGATGAAATCGATGGCCTGCGTGGGAATAAGGGACGATTTGTCGCGGTTAATGCAGAGACCGAGAGCATTGAGTAGAGCGCAGGTCATTTTTATATCAGACAGGAAAGTTTGCTCGGATTGCAAGACGATTAGCCAGTCGTCTAAGTATGGGTAAACCTGTACTCCCCGTGTCCTCAAGTGTGCGCATACCAGCACCATACACTTCGTAAAGACTCGAGGGGCTGTGGCCAAGCCAAAAGGTAGGACATTAAACTCGAATAGGTCGGATCCGATAGTAAAACGTAGAAAGTGTCTGTGTGAAGGATGGATGGAAATATGAAAATAAGCATCCTTTAAATCCAGTGAGGCGAACCAATCCTCTCTTTTCAATAACAGAAGGATATTCTGCAAAGTGGTCATCCAGAACTTCCTTGGTTTGATGTACTTATTAAGAGTTCGTAAGTCCAGGATTGGACAAAGACCACCGTCCCTTTTCGGGACCGTAAAATATCTGGAATAGAATCCATGCAATCTTTCTGAGCAGGACAATTGTCGAATCGCTCCCTTGAGAAGTAGCTGGGAGACCTCATCGTGTAGCACCGATGAAGAAGGTGTGAAGCAGATCGGGCTTGAAGGAGGGATAACATCGAATTCTATATCCAAACTGGATGATAGATAACACCCACCTATCAGATGTGATGGACTCCCAAATGGGGAGTCGGCCCTGGAGCAGGTCTCCAAAAGGGAGAAGGGAAGGTGGTGTTGGGAAAGAGAGGATGGTTCGCCCAAGCTGTCAACGTGGGCGTTTATCGGTATCGAATCGCTGACAGCCTTGGGAAAAACGCTGTTGTGCTTGCTGCCTCCGACGCTGCCGTTGTTGGTATTGTTGGGTTCAAGGGCAGTTTTGCTGGCGCGGATAATATGGTTGATTCCAGTAGGACGACTGGGGCCACTGCCACTTACGTTTTTGCGGGAGCTCCATGCGGCGTGCGGTTAGGCGTGATTCATGAATCGCCTTTAATTTTCGGTCAGTCTTCTGGTGGAACAGACCGGTACCATCAAAAGGCATTTCCTCGATTCTGTGCTTCATCTCATCAGGAAAATTACAATTGCGCAGCCACGCATGTCGGCGTAGCGAGATGGCGTTGACGAGGACCCTTGAATCGGTGTCTACCTGATGACGAGCGGTAGACAACTGTCGCACCGCCACCTGCATCGCCTCCTTAATGAAAACCCTGGCAAGGTCCGCTTGGTGGTCCGGAAGGGAGGAAGCGACGTTATCCAGCTTCTGCATGATAAAGTACTGGTAACGTGCCAGTGTCTCTTCGTAGTTCGATATGCGCATGCCAAGTCCAGAGGCCGCATGGACTCAGCATGCAAGCATATCGATTTTCCTTCCTTCCTTGTCCCGAGGAGCGGTATGTCCCCTGGACTCCCTGGGAGGATTCAACCACAAGAGAGTTCGGTTTCGGGTGACGGAGCAGGAAGGGAATGTCATTGTCACGAACTCTATACACGGCCTCATACCTACGGGAGGTAGCTTGTGGTTGGGCCGGTTGGGCCCAGGGCTGGACCATAGCCTGGCGGAGTGTAGTTATAAGTGGCAGAGCTATGGATGCGGACTGCTCTCCCTGAATGACATCATAAAACCGATCTGTGGAGGGGCCTGGCTGTTGATGGGCTTCGATTTCAAGCGAACGAACTAAGCGGGACATGAGCTCTGTGAAAGAGACATGCGGTTCGTTGGTGAAGCAGGCCCTTGGTATGCGACAGCCACATCAGGGGATGTGGAGTCGACCTCCGAATCCTCGGAGTCTTCCACGTAACGTGGCCAGTTTTCGCTTGAGGAGGAGGTTTCAGGGGAGGTTGGGCACCTCGTCTCCATACGCCTGGAGGTGGATGGTACGTCCCTCGGGACCGATGGTGATCTATGATCCCGAGGAAAATAGGGATATGGTTGGTAACCACCCCAGCCGGGGGTAGCACCATATCCCGGGATCAACCAACTCTCATCTCGATGTTCGGATGAAAGGCTGCGACATCTGGGAGGTAATGGTGAGGCCACATGAGGTTCAGTCGGTGGCATAGGTGTTGGCGAGCGGTCCCTCGGCAGGGAGTCTCTCATCTCACCATCAGAGATGGACTCCCGAAGCGGCTCCTCCTGTTGCTGGGGAGGCACGCTCTCAGGCCGAGTGGTTGGCCTGGGGGATCCCGGTGGAATCGCCTGCATAATGAGTTGCAGGGCTGGTCCCAAGGGGGTCGGTACCATGGCGGCCGTCGGTACCGAAAAGCCCGATGAACCTGAGCCCCGGTGTTTTGGGCGATCAGGTTTCTTGCTCTTGCGAGCGGGCTTACCCACCTTCTCCTTCCTCAGCTTCTTATGGGTGGAAGGTTTATCCAGACCGGTATGCTTGTGCTTCTTCCGTTTCTTAGCCGTGGGAGAAGGCAGTGACTGAGCCTCCATAGAAGTGGCGCCTTCGTCCGAAGGATGCTGCGGAGGATCGGCAGAGGTCGAGGAAGGACGCTTTGCCGGAGCACTCATGGTGGAGGAAGAGCGCTGAGGAGGCGCGGACGAAGAGGAACCAGGCCGTAGGAGCAGTTGGTCAGACTGCATTAATGCCTGATCCCATAGGAGCTTCCTGAGACGATTCTCCCTGTTTTTCCGCGCCTGCTTGGTAAACGCCAAGCAATGACCGCATTTGTCGGTCCTATGCCCCTCGCCGAGGCAGAGGCGGCATAGATCATGTGGATCAACTGGTGACATTTTAGATCCACATTCAATACATTTGAGGAACGCTGCCTGCTGAATCGGGAAGAAGAACAAACTTGGAGCAAGAGGAGTTTAAGGTTTTTGAGACAAAAACAACGAAGAGGCACAGATCTATAGCGAGAGACGAATAGGCACGAGGCACAGCGAACGGCGGTCGCAAAGACTGAGTAAAATGGCGGACACTCCGCTCTATTTATACCACGAAGGGGGAGGGGAGTGGAGTTTTCTCGCCAAAAAACCGTTGGCTTTCTAATCTTCCGGCCTAGGCACTGCGCAGGCACAGCAACCCATATGTGTGATGCACAGAGGCCACGGCAAAGAATCATTGCTCTTCTTTGGTCAAGAATTCAAAGGAATGGCAGGAATGAAGAAAAGGAACACCTGGAGCACTGCTGCAGATAACTAAGGCCTAGGGAAGAGAACAAAAGGATCTCCCCCTCCCTCAGAGCCACCTTCCCTCCTTTTTCTTGTGGGTTGCATACCAGTTCTTCCACTGAAGATGGGCATAAATACCAGGATTCTTGGCATAGCCTTGGGCACTTAATGCTTTTCCTCCTTTCCCCCCAATTCACACCATGTTTTCTAGGCAATGTTTCCCCTGTAGGTAGCAGCGCAGAATCAAGACTCTGGAGGAGAAGAGAGCTCTTCGTGTGCCTCAAGGGTCTGATGTATCCAGGCCATTTCCCATCTGCTGGGTGTTTAGACCAGGGGTACCCTAAATGCATACCCAGAGCTGCACAGGTGCTAAGGAATCCTTATCTCCCTCCGCCCCCCACCTTCCTCCTTCCCCAGCTTTTCCAGAGTTCTCTCTCCACGGGATGGCAGAACATGCTTCCCTGAGCTGCAGCCTGGGCCACATGCTCACAAGGGGGAGTTTTGCATAGAGGGAGAGAGGTTCTGCACAAGCCGTAGATGCAGCCGGATGCATTTCGCCGTGCCTGGCTGTGGGACACGACCGCAGAAAAACTGCCACAAGGTGCCTGGCCTGCCAGCCTCCTTGAAACTTAGAATAAGCCCCCGTCTTGTTTTTCCTTGCAAATTTGCTGGAATGATTCCCCCCCCCCCCCCCCGGCCACCGAGAACACAGTTTATTACCTGTATTCTGCCGCATTTTTGGCAGCGGTCTGCCAGTTTCCTCATTGCCCTTCTTTCACTCACGAGAATGGCACACGCTTCGTCCAGCCGCGGCTTTTCAGCAGCGGTCTCCGCTTCCGAGGGCCCACGGAAAGGAACAAGCCTGCATGCCTGTACGCAAGCCCACAGGCCCCAGGCGGCTACGAGTACCGTTCTGAAAAGCCCGGCTGCAGGCCCAACAGCTGCCTGAACCAAGTCCGACTAAGAGCCGCCAGTTCTGGGCTGGGCTGGGCGAGGCTAGGGGTACAGGCTAGACAGAATTGCTGAGAGCTGCCTTTTGACGTTGCGGCTGTATTTGCGTTGCAGCAGCTGGAAGCGGGTGAAGGGATGAGCTTTGACCCGCGGCTGGAGCACGACGGGGTCTGCTGCATCGAGTGCAGGCGGAGTTACACACATTGTCAGCGGATCTGTGAACCTCTCCTGGGCTACTACCCGTGGCCGTATAATTATCAAGGATGCCGCTCCGCTTGCCGGCTTATCATGCCCTGCAGTTGGTGGGTTGCCCGCATCTTGGGCATCGTATGAAGCAGAGGGAAGCGCTCGAAGCAGCCCGGACTACAAATCCAAGTGGGAGTAGACCTTGAAAAATGTGGCTGAAAAGTCCCGACTCATTTTCTCTCCATGTGTGTTAAAGGATAATTGTTTAAATGCATCACCTATTAGAGATGTAAATAAAATTAAACACTTATGTTAATATTTCATAAGTTTTAATAATTCAGAGTTAGACCAAAAGGCCTTTTGTACAATCTTATCCTCTTAAACCCTGCTCAAAGTCAACATTTTAAAGTAAGATTCTTAAGACGAGAGCCAGATTAGCTCTTTTGTGTATGAATAAGTTTTCCAACATGAAAGCTCCCTTAGAAATTGAAATTCAGCCTCTCCTACCCACATCTTATGAAAGAGATGTGAAAATCCGTCCGGTTAGTTTCCTAGCTAGACCTTTGCTTTGAGGAGTTCCTTCAACCATGTAGAATTTGACAAATAAATCCTAACTGAACCTGCTCTCTGTTGTTGTTCATACAGACCTGGGTCAGGATGGAGCAGTTAGAAACCAACTAGTTCGCTGTTTCTCTGCTGAGCTGCTGCAGGAAGGGAAGGGCCGTACTGAAGACGCAGACACTTCAACAGAATTCAGGGAATTGGGGCATTCAAGGAAACCCATCCAGCTTTCTGGAGAAGCCTGGTGACTGCAAGGCCTGGACTCCAGTCCGCTTTGTGGAGCCTGCGAGTCCAACCCCCCCGGGAGCACGCAGTGCTGACGAAGCCAGATTTCAACAGGTTTCAGCCTTAGATGGCATTTTAGTTCTTCACCGTGTGTCCTATTGATGCTTCTGAGCATTCCTAAGGGAGCCCAGCTCTTATAGAGCAAATGCCCATTCGCTTGTTTCTGAAGCAAGCAGACAAATCAATATAAGGAGTGGTCACGGCGTCCCCATTCGCTCACTAAACCATGTAGAAACAGAGCAAGTCAGAAGGGGTCTCCTGGGCCATCTAGTCTGACCCCTGGCTCTGCGCATGACATGCCTCCCATGGGCATGCCTAACATTGTCACTGTGGGAGGTGGTGCAAAGAAGCAGCCTGCTTCCACACACCCAGATGCGGTATTAACAGCAGGATGGGAGAGGCCATATTGACTGGTACGGTTCCGCCTTCAGGCACACGTGCATGTGCTGCATGGGCCAACGGGATCTATGTTCCGATGCAAACATTTCGCCTTGAGCTAAATGACTAAAGGCCAAAGATGCAAAAATGCCTTTAACTGAAACCGAGAACTGAGATTCTATTTATTAGATTTGTATCTTTTTTCCTTACAATGATCTCAAAGCAGCTTGCCTTATTCTCCCCCTGCTCTCAATCTTATCCCCACGACACTTCACTTCTTTTCTGTATGGATGCTTTCACCTGACCGTAATAGAAATCTTTGTTGCTCATTATAGAAAATTTGACAAGTTGCTAATAAACCCTATTTGCTTTGAATTGTGCATGCCACTAAAGGCTTTCAAACTCTGTACATTTCAGCAAATCTTTACTTCAATTCAACACACTAAGCCTTTCAGCCCCTACATTTCAATCTTGCACACACTTAATTGGAAGTAATTGGATGCACTTTTCATTGGAAGTACACTCAACATCACAGACTTAGATAACATTACAATACTTTGTTGTAAAGCTTGAAGCTAAAAAATCTATTTAACAGAAGCAGTGAAATCTCCGCTAGTAGTTGCATTTCAAAAGCGTCCTATCCATCACTCGTTTATGTAATTTCTAGACAAATTAAATAGTTTAATGCCTCATTGGACTTGCGTTTACAAAATTCCAGTGAACTCACTGAAACTTTAGGAGGGTACCACAATAGGGGTTTTGTGATGGTGGTTGAAAGAGGAATTGATGCTACAATATATACAATCTTTCAACACAGGTAAACAGATTCTGCTGTGTCCACTTTCAGAAGCCCACAAAACCCAGAGGGAGGACAGTGAGGCAGGATAAAAAAGCATATAGTCTGGGGAAGAAAGAAAGCAATTCACTTTCAACCAATTATCTGTTCCATTCATTAAGAGATCACCTTTGAAGGCAGGACCGAAGAGCTGCTGTTTGGTAAAAGAATGCTATCCGGGACTAAAACGCAGTACGCTACGTATACCCACTCAGTGCTATCCTCTATTCCTTCCACGCTTCAGAACCATAAACAATCCACTCCCCTAACATTTTGCAATCTGCTTTTGAAAATCTCATGAGGCAGCCTACCCACTTCTGGGAGCACACGACTAGTTGAGTTCCTTTGGATCCAACTGGCAGCTCAAATTCAAATTAAGATGGAGGAGACGGGGAAAGAAAAGGGCTTGGCTAATTATGCTGCAATGCATTGTGACAATTCAGGAAATTTAAGACAAATTCTTTGGCAAACCATAGAGTACAGCGAAGCAAAAAGCTATTCTGTATACTGTGGCTTGGGTTGTTTCAAGGGTTAACTAGTTAAAGGCCAGGCAAGAAGGCGGTCCAGTCTGGGTGTCAGCAGCATTAAATGTGAGAAGCAACATTTCAAGGGAGTATGTTAAGCAAGAGGAGGATTACGCGGTTGGAGGGCTGTGTGGTTTGAGCGAGGGGTGCAGGGGCCAATCTCCTCTCCGCTGCCCTCACAAGCACCCCGGTACTGACGGCCCCATTACTGCCACTGCTGCCCAGAGCCAAGAGCCGTCTCCGCGGCGTTTGTCTCCGTCACCAGACCCACCCATTTGGCTCCTCCAGCCAGTGCCAACCGGGAAGGCTCTGGTTCATCCTGTCTGGTTTCCTTGGCGTAGTTCCCCTAGTTTGTTGCCCTCCAACAAGCCAGAACCATAGGCCAGGTTTGTCCATAAGCCAGTGATTCCTGGCTGGCTTAGCCTCTCCTAGGAGATGCAGCCAGGTGTGAGCAACTGAGATGCGAGCATTAGCACATCTGCTTGTTTGGGAAGTTGTGTAGTATGTCCATTACAGCAAAAATTTGGATTACTAAATTTAGGGCAGGAGAGGCCGAGACGAGCAGAGAAGGGTTTAACAGAATGCAACATACAACCAAGTAAGTAGTTGACCCGTTACGTTCAAAATATAAAATCTGCCGTAACAAAGCCAACTTCTGTTTAACTGAGTATCCCTTGTGAGATACTGGATGAATAATAAAGCAGTGAGATGCACCCAGTGTGATTATGCTAAATTGCTTTTAATCCCTCTTTCCATGTCACGTTCTGATTTTTTCTATCATGTGAACAAATGCATGTGTAGGTCACGTGATCATGCTCACATACGTTCCACTGTTTTTATTGCAAACAGCCTTAACTTCATCCAGTAAAGGCCCTATCGAGAGGCAGGCATATCAACAGATCTAAAAATGATGGTTTGCTTTCGAAAACAAGAAAAAACGACCCTGACACATTTATGGAAAAGGTATATATTTACAGTTTTATTTGAATATAGAGTTGAGCAACAAACAATATTAACACTGTAGCTGAAAATCGTATTTACCCCAAAGTCACCACAGTGAATAAATTATTTAAAGGAAGTGTGTGCATTAATAAGGCATTAACCCTAAGCAGTCCAATTAAAGGCTTTGCTAACTCCCCAAATGCATGACCAAGCAAAAAACAACTGTTATGACCAGGTCCAAATTATCTTCAAAGGACCCCCTCCCTAGGCAATAGTGCTAAGAGGCCTCCATTCCCGATTATACCTCTAAAACCTGCAACAAGCAGGCCTTCCAAAAGCAAGTGGAGATGCAAAGACCAAAATTACCCCCCGAGGGAACGTCCTGTGCTTTCGTTTTGAGGATGCCATGTCCACACACAACAGCAGATGCAAGAGCATGGGCAGCATGGCGTGGCACATCAGGAAGCCAGTGGCGTGGCCTGCTATGGCCAGAGCTCTGTGTGGGGCTCCCCGGCCCTCAGGGACCCCACAAGCAGTCCTGCACACCCCACCACTGACGCTTCACGCACCCCAGCATGCTGCTCGCTCGCCTCCCTCGCTGTCGCTTTGCCCCTTGCTTGGTTTTTCGCAAGGCAGAGCCACCTTTCGCTTAGGTGTTCCCCCTTTCACTTTTAAAAGAGCCTGGGGACGCCGCATCAGAAGCAGCCGGTGCTCCGGCACCGTCATTTCTGCAGCTGGCCTCTGGGAGGTTCTCTGGGCCTTGCGGACTGCTGGAGTGCAGATTTCACTGTGTTCTGCAGGACACCTAAGCTCTTCTAAAAGTTGCAGGGGAGAGGGTGGGAGAGGAAAAAGCTGCTGCTCTGTGGACAGAGAGGAAGAAAGCACTGTGCAAAGCCAAGGGAGTGGGTGAGCTGGGAGAGCAAGCAGAAAAAGCACACCTGGAGAGGGGGAGGAGAAGAGCGGGAACAGGTGGGGAGATCACAGAAAGAATGAGCACAGGGCAATGTCCAGGAGTGTGCCAGTGCCCCAGAGGACATCTTGCCCAGTCCCGTCCCCCCCACCGCCAGAGCAACTTAGAATTTTTTCCATTCCATGTCGTCAGGAGGGTTGACTTCTACTTTCCTTTTACCCACATCGGACCAGTTCGTGCTCAAAACTGTCCCACCAGATTCCATCTGCAAAAGTAAACGCATACACACACACACAATTAGCCGTCAGCTCTAAAATGACACAAATACCCCAAAACACTTCGAGACAGGGTGAGGCATGCGGGCAGTGGGGAAGTGTCAGCCGAAGGGCAATGCTCATCTGGTGCCCCCCGCAAAAACGTTTTAAGCCCAATTGCAAACAAGACATGGTTATTTCATAAATATGCAAGAATGACCTGACGAACCGCTTGGCCTCCTGTGACACATTTTAGTCAAAAACTGGCAACACTTTCGAAAGCCTTCAGGACTCAAAACTAAACTCTGGAAGTTTGTTTCCCAAATCTTTCTCCTTTGCAACAAAGTGCTCTAGTGCTCTCTTTCCAGATGCAACACAATAAACTATATTCATTCCCTGTTCCCATTGTCCTCCCAGGAAAGGAATGAAATGTAATGTTAGTAATTTTTAAAGGTATGTTCCAAGTTTAAGCAAACCCAAGAATCCACTCTTCTAAGGACAGACCAAGTATTATAGCGACCAAAAAGAGCAAAGGGCGCATTTGGGAAAAGTCGAGCAGCACTACTGGGAAAATCCAGGTTTTACAGCCTAAACGTGTAGCAAACACCTCCATGCCCTCCTTCTGAACAAAAGCATTTGTACATGAGCATATGACTCCCAAAACCCTAGTCACAAGCCAGAGACTGGTCTTCCCTTGTGGCACACAAATCTGGATTCAAGTCCTCACACGTTCCGCCAGCCACACTAAATTAAGCATCACGGAGAAGCTTATGGCACATGGGCAAAAGCACCCAAAGCAGAAGTTATCTTACAAAAGATTTGTTCATGGCGCGCTTCACTTCATCTGTCCCATCCGAGTAGATCTGCTGGAAAAGTTTGTTTAAAGCTGCATCACCCTCCAATTTTTCATTCTTCTCCTCTTCTTTGATCTCAACCACTAGCTTGTCCCAGTTCCTTGTATAATGAGAAGATGATGGATAGAGGAGTGTGGAATCTGGAACTGTAAAACAGATGAAATGGTAACACCGCAAGAGTAATGGACACCTGTCAAGTTAGAGCATCTTAGCTCGTGCTGTTCGTAGAAGATCAGCCAAGGCAGAGGTGGTAATTCCTCAGGCTGTGCCGCTCTCCTCTCCCACCCGACACATACAGGACTGCAAAGAGCAGCTGGGCCAAAGCTACGCATGCCTGGTTAGGCAGTCCAGAGGGCTCTCTCTGGGAATGAAACTTCATGGACACAAAAGCTGAGAGGACAGTGCACAGAGCTGAACCGCACAGACCTGGGGCAAATTGTTTTCGTTGAGGAGAACTTTCATGTCCTTCCAATTTCTCCCATCGTACAGCTTCTGGTTTCTTCATTTTTATCTCTATCTAAAGACACAAAGCAAACCAAGAAAAGCATTTTAGTGCATTTCAACAGCCCTATCAAGTTAGTTGGGGGAGGATCCGCTGCAATGGGAAAGAATACAGCAATGAAGGCGATTTTCACAGTGTGTCGCCCACGTAATCAAGGGCAAACACTCTTGCCTGGGAGTCAAGTCCCTCTCAACTCAGTGGGTCTCACCTCTGAGTAAGCAAGTGCTGTGCTCTGTTAAAACCGCCTGGCATGTTCTGGCTTATGTTAATACCTTTGCTGATGGTTTGGCAACTAATGTCGACATTACTGCTGCCACAGAAATGGCTCAAACAGAGAACTGAGATGTTGAAACAGTCCCAAGTTCCTGTACCCAAGTTCCTGTAGCCCACACCCTTCTTCGTCCTTTAATACTTGTTCGTCATAAGCAAGAGTTTCTCCTAAATCTTGTGACTTTGCAGAATACAAAACAAAATGGATGTTAATCGTTTTGTGAGAGCCACAATAAATATGAAAAATGATCTTGCAATCCTTGAAAAGAAGTGCTTTTAAAAAAGCAAAAAACTGTTGTGTTGCTGCAATAAGGTTTGCACCATTTTTTCTTCAGTGCTGTTGGTTTAATTAATTTGCATGTATCTGTATAACTGAATAAATGCATGCAATTCACATTCCCTAACTGGGGAGAACTCTAGCTACAATCAAAACAATTGCTGGATGCTCTTGAGAATATACCTTCACATTTTAGAAGTCAAACTGTGCAGGTCTGGTCATCTCTTAAGGTAGGAGTGCTTCATTAAACAGACAGACTCCAGAGCTCACACAAACAGGAGCTTCCACATAATATAATTTTATAAACTACTTGCTTTTTCCCCTTCAATTTGGGATAATTTTTCAACTTATAACCAGCCAGTGAAAAGACTGCAGCATGATTCCACCACTTGTCCAATGCACTCCAAATGATTCATTTTGAAAAAGCATTTCCACAATGGATACTAGAGCAAGAAAACTGCTCATTCATTTTAAGACCAGAGATAACGGGGCACTGCCTCACTCTGAAGAACAGTCCGCTCAGTCTCATGCAGCATCTAATTTGTTCTGGAATCAAGTTACACTGAAGTGTTTGTCACAGTTCCACCAAAATCCAGGACAACCTGGGGATCCTTGCAGCTCCGAGAACAAGGACACCTTTGTAAATGCTAGCCCTACAGAGCATCTTATAGCGAGCTAACCGAATACCAGCACAGACCAGAACTTGTACTATAAATGCCCAACCAGTCACAGGTAACCAAACTGCCATCGGAATGAAAGAGCTGCACTTGGCTTGTTCTTACATTAAGCCATTTAAAGTTAAATACCAGCTATCATCATCTTGTCAAGTATTGATTTTACAGTGTCTGTTTGGTGGGGCTAGTGAGTTCCTTGAATGGGGACTGCATCCCCGTTCCAGCTTTCGGAGAAAACAAAGGGCGCCATTCTGTGGAGGCCATGCTGACTTTGAACTCCTCCTGCTCTGCACAGGATACCCAGGATCCTTTGAATTTGGAGAACTGCAAGCAGTCCTGCTAGTCTGCATCCTCGATATGGCTTAAAATATTCCTTCTTTCTTTATTCATGTCGGAAGCACTGCAGGCAGAATTTGTGAAAGGCTGTCAGAAGTACAACAAAACAGTGCCCCAAAAATCCAGCACCTGTGCATGAACTACAATGTGCGGGTGGCCTGCATACGGAGCGCACGGGCACAAGCGCCAATACGCACACGTGAGACCCTGTCTGGGTGAAGAGAGAGTTCCCACCCGGCGTCGGGAGACACCACGGGCATCCGGAGCAGCCAGCCTCGACTCCCCCACTGAGCATTTTGGTGAGCCCAGAACACACCGGCTTAAGCGCGCAGCCGCCCACACACAGAGGATGGTCCATGCAAAAGCCCCGTCCGCCCCGGTTTGTCTCAGACCGGTTGGCCTGCTCAGTGACTCCCAGGTTGCCCAGCTCCCCTGAAACTTTCCTGGAGCTCCATCCATTTCAGGAGAAGGGCCAGTCCTTCCACAATCTGATCCCGGAGTGCTCCACTGTTTCACAGCAACTCACAGGTCTCCCAAGAAAGCTTTTTCCTTATTTTAATCTGGGTGGCAGCCCAAAAGTGGACATACGTTTGATGTCGATGCTCTCTCTCCTTACGGTACAACACGAGCTACATAATTAACTTTATCAACAGGTGCCGGCTTCAGGCTACCTGTGATAATTATACAGCTTGCATTAAGTGCTGTATCTAGCTGCATTTAATGTATTATTCTTCTGCCACGAAAATAAAAAAAAAAACCTGACTATGGGATCTGCTTTGGGATCAAATGTGTTTCTTGAACACCAGATAAGCTACTTGAATGACAGTATTACGCATGTCACCATTAGCAAGTTAAATAAATCTTGTCTGTACTGTGAACTTGCCTTTTTTTTTTTTTTTTTTGCAAATAAAGTCATCACATTAACAAAACTCCACAATGTAAAGTACATAAACCCACAAGAACAGTAAAGCTGATGGACTAACTGGACCAACCTACTTTAGGTTGGGAAGTAGCAAAACTGTAGCTCCTGAAAGTTGCACAATTAATTCAATATGTGCTGCTTATATGACTAAAAGAAATGTTAAATGGTGCATATATTAAATTCTGGCCTACATTTCAAGGTTAGTAGTAGTAAAATTTAGACAATCTCAACTTACAGTGCCTATGGCTGCTCTCAACAGCCCTCCTTTCTTTTTAAGGGTGTACTGTTTAGGAATAAAATGAGTACCGCATCCTATTCCTAGATTTAAACTATCTTGAAGTGACGACTGGAGTATAAACTATGAATTACCACCGAGGCCCCTTCTGACTTGCTCTGTTTCTATCATGCAGTGCTAGTAGTTCAGAGTGAAGTAGTAGGCAAAACTATTTTGCTATTCTCTTCTGCCCAATGCAGTCTGTCTGAAATAGTACTCCCAACATTTTAGCGCCCTCTAGTGAAAGTAAGAAATCCTCCTCAAAACTGCTAATTTTAACCCACAGAAATACAATACCTTAATTTTGACATATTAATTTAGAAGACTGTAAGCAAGACCTGGAGTCTTGCAGAACCAATTCTGTGAATAAATGAAGCGGCAGCTGGCAAATGCAGCTATTCCAGATTCATTGGTAATCTATACTAAACATGGCTATACACTTGAGACATATTAGTTGAAGCATTAATTTGGTTTGAAGGCAACACGCAATAAATTTAAGTACATGCTGTGTATTATTTCCAGAATTACAGCCTCATATCGTTACCCCAAACAGTAACTACAGACGCAGTTCTAAAGGTTCTGACTGCTGGAAGGATCAGATTTCTTTTCCTCCTCCTATGAAAACTGCACATGGTCCCAGTGGTACTGCAGCTGGCATCTTTATTTAGTAGCCTCAAAACACCATCCTTCATTCCTGCCAGAACTGCGAATTCCCTAGATTAGATAAATCACATATGGACTTTGGGGTTTCAGGCCTGGCTTTGGTCCAGAAACCATCCGGCGAAGAGACCTCTTGAGTTTTTCGGGACTGAGAGAGATGATTTGGCTCACACTGATGACAAAACGCTAAAATGGAGAGTTCCTAGCGCAACGCTGCTGCTGCGATGGCTGGAAAGAAGCCAGGCAGAAACACTGGGAGCTGCACCCTTTGTGCATACACACGGAAGCAGGCGCGGGGTCTGCGACACGTCTCTGCTCTAGGGCATTTCAATCATGTGTCGAGAACCCATGTGCACAAGGCACAGTGAACATACCAACCCTTCAGCTCTGAACCGCTGCACGGTTCTTCACGGGCTGCTCCTGGAGATGGTTACAGAAACCGCAGCGTATCAGGCCAAAGAGCATTTCCTCGGTGAGCTGAAGCAGAAGTGTCGGAACTGACCCTGGAAAGCCTTTGAGAGCTTATCTCCCAGCCCCTCAAGCAAGCCCATCCACACCTGCAGTGCCCAGCTGGGAAGGCCATTAGCTGGAGCTCTTCTTCAGGCCCTGCTCACACTTGTGGTGAAGCAGACAGTGACCGGGGAGACCATTTTCTGGGGCAACCTAGTTGTGAAACTGCAAAGTACTGGGCAAACCCCGTTTTTCTTCTCCATGGCCTTTCAGAAATTTTACAGTGTACTTAGTGTTTTATTCCAATATTCTGGAAAGTTACCTTGGTAGAAAGAACTCTGAATGTACTTTGTTCAGGAACTATGGAATGAAGAAGATGTAGCTTTAAGTTGTAGTCTTCGTCTGAGGAAAGATTCACTGATGCATTTAGCTGTTAAGATAAAATGCAAAAACAGCACACACAAAGAAAACGGAGTCATTCTAGACCTCCAGCTCTTTTCCAGGAGAAATGAATGCAAAGACCTTTCACTGGGAACTTCTAATTGGTGTCAAACATGGGACAGGGATTTCAAATGGGAAGTTGTACTACATTATTCAACAGGTAAATCAAAGTGTGCTAGAAAATAAACAGAAGATTAATGTTCTTAGCCACCAAGTAGGTACTCAGGAAGCTGTTATGTCAGTTTGGTAAGCATGCTTTAGGTAAAGAACTGAATAACTGTAGAAAGTTTCCAGGAGCTATAAATAATTAAACAGACTAAAGCCACGTGACTTCCTTTTCTTGCTTTATGCTTCACAGTTTTATATCCAGCAAAATGTGTGAATGTAATGTAGCAATTCACTGAACATTCAGTTATACCATCCAGAAAACCAGAAGTGAGTATTTTCACAAGAGAAGTTTTTAAACATCAGGATCCCGATAATTAAAACCAGACTTTGTTTGAGATGATCTACTGAGCACTTCCCTTCTGAGAAGGGTGCGCATCCAGTAATGCCTATGGTGGCATTTACTAACACCTCACTTCTTCCATCCGCACACCTACCCTATGCAGGGGCGCCTATCTGCATATTTTTGCCTTGCGCCGTAGTCCTAAATGCTCCCTTCCTGGGAAGCAACACTGGTTTGAAAGTACATTTGAATCCAGGTGTGTCATTTGCAGCCTGAACTATACATCCAGATTACCTCTTTTTCCGAGAAATGCACGTGGACTTCGTCCTTCTTTGCATTCTTGATCATAATGGTTATAATTACATGAGATTCTGTCTGGTACCAATCATACCTTTAAAAAGGCAAAACAAAGTATTTTAGCTTAACATCCCTTATTTTAAGGATTTCAATTTGCACATGTGTAAACATTCCTAGTCCTTTAAAATTCGGGTTTCTTAGTCCTTTTATACTATAGACCCTTTCCATACTATGATGTCTGGCCCTACAGATGTTTCTGCTTACAACCCCTCCCCTTTGGCAGGCGTGGTCAAACAGGGTCTACAAGATGGGATGACCAACTGCACTTCCCCCTGCCCTTCTGAATAACCGTTCTTACAGTTTATCAACTACGGGATTGGCCACAGTATGACTAATCAACCACAAGAACTTGGAGCACAGGATTTCCACCCGGGGTGAGGGTCCTGGGCTGGCCCAAATTCACCCAATGAGTCTCACGGCAAGTGGGGGAAGAACCAGGATCTCTCGAGACGCCATCCAGTTCTCAAAGAGCTCTGCCACGCTGGCATCCTGCCTGCCATACAGAAACTATTAAGCCTCCTCTGGTCAGACTGTACACCCGCCAAGGAGAGCAGACGGAGGGGGGCCTTTTGATACACGCTGGCTTGAGTTGCTACAGAGGGAGTCAATACAAGCAGGGAGGGAAGCAATGAAAGCTGCAGGGCCAGCTTTCGCACCCATCCCTAGCACTTACTGGAATTCTGTAAGCACAGATTTCTTGGGAAAAACTATTAAATACTAAGCTCCGTTTTTGTAAATGTTAAAAGAACTTACTTGATCTTAGATGGCTGTGACTGGTGTTCCAATATCCAAGTAGCATCGATTATAATGAAAAGTAGTGGAGAATTATTTAGCATTGTTCGTAAATCAGACATCAGTGCATTTTCACATCACAAGAAAGTTATCTGCAACGACCCACATCCATTAAAGCTACGACAGACCTCAAGAAGGGGGCTCCATCAAAGTACAAGGCACATTTTGAGGTCCTTGGATCAGGGCAGGCCACTCCGTATACTCCTCTCAAGGAGGGAGCAAAGTGAACCCCACACCCCCCACCAATGCTGGTGGGGCACATGCTAACTGGCTCCTTCCTCAACTCGCCACCCTCCTCAGCGTGGCAAGGACTCAGGACTCGAGGGCGGCTTTGGAGAGCAGCAGACAACTGAGAGGCTGGCCTGAGCTAGCCGAATGCCGGAGCGGGGTGGTTTAAACTGTTCTGCAGCTGGCTGCCCACAGAACCTTTCCCACTGCAGCTTGCGATGCAGTGAGCCGGTACCACTCATGCGGGAGACAGCATGCGTCAGCTGTTTCCTCCCCTCAGTCACATGGGGGGGGGCACATCCTCACAGGCCCCCTGCTGCCTGTGACGTGTTTCTGGAAGGCACAACAGAACAATCAATATTCAGTATGCTGGTTAATACCAGAAACAGGGCAGGTTTCCTTCCAGGAGGAAAAAAAAAGTCAAATTTTAGGGGGAAAATACTCCTTGTCTATGTGAATCAAAAGCAAAGCCATTACTCTGCAAGTATATCCATTAGAAAGCATCTTACCACTTCGGTCTGTGATCCGGCTGGAAGGCAAAAACAGAAAGGCACAAAATGTATAAATAAATCATTTTGGTCTCAAATTGCCATTTCTCACGCATTAGCTCGGTGGACACATGAGAGATGCTGCACGCACAAACATCGATGAGCGTGTTGCGTGCGCGAGGGAGAGGACAGCGGCTGAGCGCATACACCCCTTCTGGGGGTGGGTCCCCCCCACACCCCGTGAGGTTCCGTGAAAGGAATGTGGCAGGAAAAGCTTTTGCACCCCTGACACAAATGAAAGTGGGCAAAGTGGTGGCTTCTGACGGCATATCAGAGTGCCTCCAACCCCAGAAAATGTGCATGCCATTGAGAACACCAATAAAGCATACCTTACCATTAATGATCTCTTCACATGTCTTGATCCAGACAGGAAGAGCGGTGTTGCTACCTAGCAAATGGAACACATGAAAGTGCACTGCATCGTGACAGCGAACGTAACAGGGGACGACCTTGTTTTTCCACTGGTCTCGGAGGGTGTTCTTTATGACATCACGTGTCCCTAGAATTTGTGACTCCCAAGCTTTTCCCTTAAATTGAGATTTCTACCTTTTAGTGCTGAAGGTCGAATGCTTGACAACTTAAGTTAGTTCTCAATAATATGTGAATTGGCTGTGCTTGACTAATTTTAACAAGCCAGTAGGGTGACATTACCTATAAGAAATGGTATTTAAGCATAATGCAGAAGTACATTATTTGTGTAAGAATAACACTTATACGAGTATCAAGCATTTTTAATTGAAAAAGTCCATTAGCATTTCTTTACCTGCAATTAAAGCAGGGGCCCTTATACATTATTGGACTACAAAAAAATCTTATCATGCATGGAGAGGATAAAAGCTGGGTATCTTCTCCATATAGAACTATTCTGGTTTAGTTTAGGGTTGTTTTAAACAGTTCACGAGGAACTGGCCCAGGGTTACAGATTACTATTACCAAGCTTTTGATAGCAATTTATTTTATTTTATTATTTTATTAAAACATATCTATGCCGCCCTTGCCGAAGCCTCGGGGCGGCTTACAACACAATAAAATACAAAAATAACAATATAAAATTAAAATTAACAATATAAAATAAATAAAAAATATAAAAGAAGTCGCCCTGGCCAGATAAATGAATTAGTTTAGTTAAAAATTAAATTCAAAATTAAGAATTAAAAATCAGTATTTTTAATTTTGAAAATATTTTCAAAATTACTCTCTAGTTCAGCATCACTATATAAAATGGCATTTACAAAATCCAGTCTTTTGAATTTCTGCCACCCAACTGCACATTCTAAACATGATCTGTTTTCAGAGCATTTCAACCTAAAAATGCCATTAGACAAAGCGTGTGAGCGAGCCTAAGAGAGGGCTGCGGGGGATGCCACCCTTCGGGTTCCAGCAATTGTTGGCTACATAGTCTTCAGAAAAGTTTGAGAGGAGCAGAATTTTGTAAGCCCCAGGGAGTTCCTTCATTCATTCATTCATTCATTCAGAATTTTTGTATCCCGTCCCATCGCAAGAGTCTCGGGACAGCTTACATACAAATGTAATTTCATTCCTTGAAATGAAAAAGGTGGGATATAAATCAAATAAATACATATATGGCAGAGAAAAAGCATAAATGCTCAACTGTTGATGGAAAATATGAAAATTCTTCACATTGGTCATCAAGCATCTCTCATGAGCCCCAATGGAGGGCCCGCCTTGCAGGCTGAGAAGCAGAGAATTAACAGGCCCTTTGACAGAATGTTTGACCAGGTAAACATTAACCTGGCAGCCATTAATAAGCATTTAGATTAAGCAGCAGTGGGCCATTCCTGATTTGGCCGTTTTGTCAGTCTGGATCCCCTGCAGTGCAAGTGCTACGAACCTTCTGGAATTGGGTCCTGGTGACGCTGGTGCTGACAATTCCACGCTGCTCCAGTGTGAATGACATCAGCGGGGCTTGGCAACATGACACATCCCCCCGGGAAACCCATCATGTCAGCAAACACTGACGACGCTGTGCTGCACGCACATAGCAGCAAACAAAGTGACATGACCTGCATCAATGCTAACGGTAACTTGGATATTGGGCCTGCAATTCACATACGGCAGATGTGTGCACACCTCTAAATGAGTATGTTTCCATACTTACTATCCAGCCTGCTACCCTCTTTGAAAGACTTCAGTGCAGCAGTATAGTTCTTCATATGATATTCACCTATCCTAAGAGAGGATGAGAGGAGAACATGACACTTCTGGCTGTGAAAAAAATCAGGCTATTCGACAACCACAGTATCTTTGGCTTTACGCAGTATTTTGACCTGGGGCAAGAACACAGACAAACCTGCACAGTTTGGGGGTTAATTCCGCCCCCACTGGGGTGACTGAAAAAATGGGACACCCACACATCTCAGGAGCTGCAGGTCAAAATTTCCCTGAAAAATGCTTAGCAGAGCCTCTGCTTTCCCTGCAGGAACTTCCCTGTGGTGTTGCAGCTAAAACTTTTGGCTTGGGCAATTTTGGAAATTTCACCTTGACCAATCGCTTTGCCAAATGAATCTCCCCTTCTCTAGCCAGTTTAGCAAAGTTGTTTTAAGAAGTGAGTACAGGGTTCTTCACTTTCACATCTACTTTTTAGTGTAAAGAAAAGGAGATTTTTGCTTTCTTTTTTCCCTGAAGCAGGTCAAACACTGGAAGGGAAGGAAATTCCCAAATTTTACACAACCATTTCATGAGGACCATACTCAGAAACTCAAGGACTGAAATAATTTCAAGCAGACTGAGCTACATCAAAACAGCACAGCTTACTCACAGATTTCTTTTTCTCAGTCATAATTGCTGTCTCACACAATAAAATTCACGCACATAAGCATAAAAACACCCACATTGCGAGGAATGGCAGTCCCTCAAGTAGTGAGGCAAGGGGATTCTAACAGGCTGAAAATCCACAGAGGGAAAGCAATATTGACAGGGGAAGAAGTCCCTTTATTTCCACAGCAAAATGTAAGGAGTGGAAACAGCAGGGTGAGGTGCTGCTGTCTAGCTGCCTGGCCCCTCCCTGACTAATGCCATCGGAAGAACGTCTGCGGGAACATCTTATCCCGTGAGATGGGAAAATAAATTTTTTAGAACTGAATAAGAGAGAAAAACTACAGATATGAAGAAAGAAAAGAGCAACAAGACCAGCATAGAATAGTCCTGCCGAGAAAAAATAGATGTAACGAGAACTGGAGTTTCACTGATGTATTCCAGTCCATCTGAGCAACTGCAGGGATGGCCATTTTCCCCCCTTTCCCCTCTTCCAACCCCATTCCTTGCAGGCTGTGTTTGACCAATGAGTGATCACTTACCCTTGCCTAAGAAAGGCGGCAACATTGTTGGGGTCGAGGGCCAGTGCCTTCTTCGCATCTCCAATGGCATCTGCAAGGAGATGGTTCATTTCTTAATAGTTGCATTATTCACACTTCCTGGGCAAAACCAAACCATCTGCCTTAACTGGACATTTTACATGTTAGACGAGCCTTGTAATCTATGTGCAACATTTATTAGAAGTAAAAAACACACAAGCATTTCAGGAAAAAGGAAAAGCATGCCCCCCCCCCCCACAAGCTCTTCTAGACTGGAACAATATTATTGGTTTCACACTCTGAGTTCTGGTGACGAACAAGGAGCAAGTACCAGACAATTAAACAGCCAATTTTAAATTAATCTGAAATCTTGAACAGTAAATTAAGAATTTATTTCCTCTTCAAAGTTTATTAACTTTATGTTCTTGTTGCTAGCTTTCAAGTCATTCAAATTTGCTAGTCAGGGCATATTTCATATGAAATCAATGACTTACATACCATCTTCCATTCCACAAAAGGAAATGGTTTTCCTGCCTCCCACTTCCTTTTACAGCCATCAAAAATAACCCCCTGAAGTTGGACCAGGGCAAGCGACTGCACCAGGAAGGGCAAAGTCGCCAAAACTTGGGAAAACCTATTTTAAGTGAAGGCACTGCCTTCTGCTTGCACGCCATCCTCTTTGCTTCCAAGCCAAAGGAACTTGGTGACATACTGAATACAGATGAAAATATTGAGGAGATACATAAAGTGTGATATTCTAATAAGTTATATTTTGAAATGCACAAGCAGAGCCTACTTTATTGCAAGAGCAAAAGACTTCTCATTTATTTGAAGCTACTATTATATGCAAGCACAGACACAAAACCCACATTTTTCAAGTTATTAGATTGCTGATATGGAACAATCAAATTGATTATCGCTCGGAACAAGTCTTATTTGAATGTTACATTCTAATTATTCCACTTAAAGATAATCTTCTTATAAACCTGAGTAGGATATGCAAACATTATGACAAGAGGCATGTTCCGGTATCCAAGTTTTCAGGTAAAACTACACAAATCAAGCTACATTTTAATCTATCCTTGACACTAAAATATTTTAAGTTATCAATAGCATCAAATAGGAGATGTTACCATGGTAATTTTGTAGAAGAATATGAGCATAAGCTCTTTGACAGTAATACTCTGCATCATCTGGCTGCTGTTCTATGGCTCCTGTCAGCTTCTGCAAAAGCAAATACAAATATTTGACTTGACATTTTCCACAAATCCTTGTATAGCCCACAGTGAAAAGTCTTGCTTGACAAATCAGACAGCATCAATTAGCACGGTTTTGCTTTGAGAAGAATTACACCAGAAGCAACATGCTTCAGCTCAAAAGACAGCTGCCTAAAACTGAGATGAAAACCTCACTGCCTGAATCCAGCAACGAGCTAGGTCTGGAATACCATTTGGAAGACACTGGCAAGAATAATGCATCAATTGTCCTTGCATATGACTGGGCTGGCATAAAATGGCAACTCACTGTGGGCAGCCCATCTGAAAACCTGCAGAGGATGCTAAACCGGTCGAACCTAAGGGAGCACTGTCCTCAGTGTGGCCCCATTCACTCCGATGGCTGTGCACAAAGAAAGCCTCTCTGAAACATCTGATGCTCCCGTACCGCATTCTCCGCTCCATGGCAGGTGTTTATTTTCACACTGGAGTTTTTAAAAGCTTTAACTCACACTGAAGCTGCAGTTTTTGATGTGCCATCCTCAGCTGAGGTTGTCATGACATGCAAACCCAGAGATTATGGTTTATGCCCAGCATTAAACAACCTTCATCCTACCCTAGAAACCCATTTCTGGCCAAGAAATTCCAGCCAAGGCAAGAGGCTAATGGATGGGCCTGACGCTTTCTCACATGAGACATTTTGAAAATACTTGTTCTCGCTACCAACTAATTACCAGCCCCAATTCAAGGTGTTACTTTTGCTCCTTAAAATTTGATCCTTAAAAGTCTAAGTGGCATCTGCACTAAAGGTCTTTGAGCTACAGCAGCAGGCATGCTGGACTGAAATCAGAGAAATCAGGGTTTTAGTCCCCACTCAGCCAAAAAACCCACTGGGTGACTCTGGACCAGTCACAGGCTCTCAGTCTAACCAATCTCACAGGGTCCTTTGAGGATAGGATCACGTACCTCACTTTGTATTCCTTGAAGGAAAAAGGATGGACTATAAAGTAGCAGCCTCAGTTTCACTTACCACAGTGAGAGCCTCTTCCTATATAATTCCCACACAACATACACCTGATGCTCCTGCTATGATCAACAGAATTAGCATCTCAGAGGGGGTTTTCTTTCCCTAAAGTTCTAGAGAGCACTTTTAATTTCTCTCAAGGATCTGACATCGTAGCTTAGATGCTTACTATTCCAACTTTTTACGGCTTAGGTTAATCTTTCTGAACGGGAACACATGGGATGAAGAGACACTGTCCACACTTATGCAAAGAAGTACAGTACAAGAAGGGTTCCATGAGCGAAAGATTCTCCCCTCAAGTGTGGCAACCCACCTCTTCCAGCAGGCTCTTGTGCACCAAGTCGTGCTATTAAAGGAAAAATGGGAAAGTATGTGTGTACTATTGTAGTACCTAGTCACAGGAACGGTACAGAGCACATTCAGCAGAACATGCGAAACAAGGCGGTATGAATGGTGGTACAGAACTATATCTGCATTATGTAATGAAACAAATAAAATCCAGTAAAGAGATCAAAGGAATTTAACTGGCATTTACCCAGCAAAGAAAAGTGTTGTTATAACCAAGGCAGTGGTTGCCCTCCTTATAAACTGGGTATGTTCATTTTGTCTCAGTGAATCTTGGGCATTAATAGCATTGAATTGCAAAGAAAAATTACCACAACTTATGCAAAGAAAAGTGCTGCCTCATTATAATTTTTGGTCATCTTGAAAGTGTCAACATTTTAATCCCTGAAAAAGTTTTGACAAGAACCCCTGAAGCAAAGGTTCTGAAGTTCACTAAGTAAACCCATTTATGAATTTCAAAATACAGTTCTAATTTTCTGTTAAGAGCCATTACCACCTTAGTGAAGTGCACATGGTGGGCATGTCGTGAGCGGAGCCGGCTGGTGCCGGAGGTCAGACTAGATGGCCTGGGAGACCCCTTCCGACTCGCTCTGTTTCTATGTTTCTAAGTGATTCACAAATTTAAAAGTCTGCGGCAATGGGAAACATAAGTTAAGCGTAAACAGACAGTTTTCACAAAAAAAAGAGTTCCCCAATTTGGCCCAGTGTTGTTTCATGTTCAGATACTGCCTAAATTTAATAGAGAACAGTGAAACGTAAAAACAAACAACACACAACTGTTCAAAATAAAGCAACCTGCAGAAAACCTTAAAACAGGGTAGACTCCCAGTTAATGGAAAGGCATGAAGGCTAAAGCATCCTGAAAACAGATGTTTATTCTCTAAGAAGTTCTCAAGTTCAAAATGCAAGTACAAAGTGAATTACACTGGGGCAAAAATCCTAACTGATGGGGTTTGGCCTGCAGCTACTAAACAGGAGAGAACTTAGTTTTCAGAAAAGCAATTAGACGAATGTACGGAAAATATGACTTAAGAGTTACTAGCTAGACAGAGTATCCATGACCAGAATGAACATCAATGCCAGGGAGTTGCTAGGGAACAACAACAGAGCTATTGCCTTAATGTCTTGCAGGCCTAAAGGAAACTCTGGACTGATCCAACAGTTTGATCTTAAGTTTCCAGTGAGTACTCAGTAACTTTAATAGATGCATGTTTGCAGGAAGTAGTCAGTAATTTTTAATAGGTGCCTGTTTACAAGGAGTAGTCAGCAGCTTTGGTAGATGCACAAAGGGACATTTTGGCAGGGGCAGCTCCTTCCAACACAATATCTGCAAGCATTACCGTACACCTGCAGAAACGGAGCCGAGTCTACGCAAGAAAAAGAGCGAACGGGGCGCCCAAAGCCGCGGCTACGGGTTGGCTCCTCAGCCCGCGACGCGAAAGGCTGCTGGGTCGAAGGGCTGCCTGCCCACGTGGAGCAGCGCCCGCCCGCCCGCGGCCCCTGGGCCGGCCCTGCGCGAGGTCAGGGAGCGGACCGCGCTCCCTTGACCGCGGCTGCCTGCACCGCGGCACTGCCACACGGCCAGGTCGCCCCCACGCCCATCCTCGCCAAGGAGAGCGCCCAGCAGGCCGCCTTCTGAGCCTCGCCGCCCCGCCGGGGGAGCCGCCGGGCCCGCCTCTCACCTGCAGGGCGGCCGCGGGGTCCTGCTCGATCTCGGCCTCCGCCGGCCTGCGGGAGAGACGAGAATTAGACACGGGGGAAGCGGCGGCCGGGCGGGCCGGGGGAGCCCGCCGGGGCCCGGCGGGAGGGAGGCTCACCGTGCCGCGCCCGGGCCCGCCGCCGCCGCCGCCATCTTGGCACCGCCGAGGAAACTTCTAGAGCGCGCCGAGTTCGTTTCTCCTCGCGGCGCGCGGAGATGACGTCACGGGAGCGGGCGGGCGACTCTCCCCGGGAAGCGCGCCGGCCAGACACCTAGATCTATGAACAGTGGGAGGTGTAGACGTGCCTACGTGAGCTTTGGAGCGGCATGCGCTTGCAGGGAAGGACCAAGCGCAGCGCGGGAGGTAGCAGCCCGGCCCGCGTGCACCGATGGGCGTTGCTGTTTCGAAACCAGGATCCTGCCTCTTGAGAACAGCGGTCCTTTCCCCGACAGGTTCAGCGGTCTTGCTAGCACACCTTGATTTTAGTTTGCTCTCCAAACAGCAGTTGAGTCCTGCTCAGAACCCGTACTGCAATTAAGAGCATTCATGCATCGATAAGGGAGAGATGCATCCATGCATCTTCAGGAATCCACAAAATCTTATGCCATCAAAAGCGCTAACATCGTGCGATTTTTTTAAGGACCATCTAATCCACTGTAACTGATTCGTGTGCAAATATGCAAAATGGTGAAGAAATGCAACCTCTCACTAGCCCTGGACATGTTTTTGTTTCTTGAACAATTTTTAGTTGCAGAAAATCCCTTTTTTCTGCCACAAATTGCAAAAGGGCTAATGCTCAAGTTCCTCCCCCGCACCCACCCACCCAGCAAATGCATCAAGGCCCAACTGTTTTGCACTGTGAAACCAAGCTGGAAAGCGACATTAGTTTAGTGGATGGAGTGCTGGGACATGGGAGATGCAGGCTCAAAGTCAGCCACAAAGCCCCCTTTGGGCAATCGCTCCCCTTTCGGCCTGGCCTACTTCACAGGGTTGTTGCTGCAAAGATACAACGGAGTGGAGGAGAATTATGCAAGTCACCTTCAAGCCCAGAAAAACAGGACAAAAAGTGACCTACACACCAATAATCTAAAATGTTTGCCTGCTTGTATACTTCAAGGTCACTAATGCACTAATTAAATTACAATAGATTCCCACATCACACCGGCATGCAAAGTGCAGCAACAGTGGCATCCAACAGAGACCAAACGAAATCACCAAACTACACAGAAAGGAGACAATATTATTTTCAACAATTATTGAAAATAATACGAAAGAGAGAGCACCAGCACAGCTTAGCTATGCAGATACTTTAGAAAACAAAACAGCCTACATGCTGAAGCTGTTAACACTAGTTTTACCCTGCAATGTTCAACCGGCACTGCATTCCAACTCTATTGCTTTCCAAGTATTGAAACATCCTGTCTCACAAAGCCAGATGCCTAGACTCGCCAATAAAAAAGTACAAAGAAGTTGTACTTGATTTATTTCCATAATAAACCAATTAAAATACAAAAAGTTCAAATGGGTCATTCAATTTAAAATTTTGTTTTTAAATACAAATTCACTCTGTAATATATGAATACATATAACATTAGAGCTCTAAACATAATGATCTTATTTGTATCTATAAAATATTGCTCTACAGAAACATTTTTATGAAAAACGTTTTTTTGAGAAATTAAATTACATATTTACAATAGAAAAGTACTCTTATAGAAACATTTAAATCTCAAAATACTTACATAAGCCCCATATACTTTTTTTACTTCTTTAAACAAAAATGGGAAATCAAAAACACATTTTATTGTTAAATTGATCTGAAAATAATTGCACCTGGAGTGGTAACTTCAAATCTGTTGAACAGGTACCTCATATATATGTGTGCTATAAAAACAGAAGATATCTAAATATAAAATGACTTCTTGATAAGGAAGATAACATTTCCCTTTTTTGCACAATGGGCAACCTTTGGGGCAAAATACAACATAAATTAAATTCACACTGTCCACTTTTTATTGTCCTTGTAAAACCAAACATTGTTCTGTCCACTGGCCCCAAACAGAACTTTGGAATTTGCTAGAAGAATCATATAATGGAATGAAAGAAAAACACCTTTATAGAAAATAACTATTGCTTTAAAGCATGGATTATAGCACTGATTACATTATTATGCAAGATGCAACAATGCATGAAGTGTAAGAAATTTAATTCTTTAAATCTTAAAAAAAATAAACTGCTTGATCCTTCATGCTTGCATTCTGAATCAATGATATTTGATATAATTCAGCAAGTAATACAAAACTGAAATCAGCTCTATAGTATTATTTATAAAATTAATTTCCAGAAATTAAAGTATCTTCATAATGACAGCTTTGGAATCAAATGATACATGTGCATTTCATGAAGTCCCGTCACGTTAAGAAAACCACTGTCCCACAGAGTCATCGCTTTGCTAGTACGGTGTTTGCTCCAGCTGTTCGCTCTCTTGCTTCACTTGCACAGCGGAGGAGATCCCGTTCGAACTTGATACCACCACCACAAAAGGCTGCTGCTGCTGGAAGCTCTGTTCTGAGTGTGGACATTCTTCCCCTGTGCTCTCCTCTGCTTCTGATTTTATCACTCCCTGTATAACAGTTGGTTTGCTTTCAGGCGCTTTGATGACCGAGGTGATCACTGTGCTGGATGGCTGAGGAATCACTTGCGAACTGCTGGGGGTGAAAGTTACCATGGGGGTAGCAGAGCTGAAAGATGGAGCAGACGCCACGTTGACTGTTCCATTGCAAATGGTCTGCACGCTGCTGGTGAGAACTTGGTGGACCTGAGCGGGACTCAAGACGATGGATGACGAAGGCGAGACTGACTTTGGGGACTGCAGTACAACTTTCTCCTTAAGCACAGTCATGGACTGCGAACTTGGGATGGCTTGCAGAATAAACTTCTGGGGTGTGGTTGCCGATGTCGGGTCAGTGCTGGCGATCACTGTTGTTAGAGGCACTGTTTGGAGTGTCACAGTATGCAGCTGCTGGTTCCCAGGGGACACGACCACCGGAACTTGACCAGGAGCTTGAATGGCCCTATTAAGAGAGGCAAACAGAATCAGCATTTTCTAACTTGAATCGAACACATGACAAAATTGAAGTCCAGGCCCAATTCAAGGTGTTGGTTATGACCTATAAAGCCCTAAATGGTTTGGGACCTGGATATCTAAAGGAGCGCTTGCGCCCATATATGCCCTCCCGCCCCCTTGAGATCAGCAAAGGATGCCCTTCTCCGGGAAACCTCTGTGAATGATATTAGGAGGGTGAGTACCCGGAGGAGGACTTTCTCTGCGGTGGCACCCCATCTATGGAATGCGCTCCCCAGAGAGGTCCGCCTGGCGCCAAAAAACAAAAAACAACCTTTTTATTTAAAACTTATTTAATTGTTACATTATTGAATTAATTAGGATTTTAAAATTTTTAGCCGAGAATGCACCGGGGGTTTTTTAATGTTTTTTAATTGTTATATTATTATTATTTATGTATGTTTTTATGTATTCTTTGTGAACCGCCCTGAGGCTTTGTTGCGATGGGGGCGGCACAGAAATGTTTAAATAAATAAACAAACAAACAAAATGCATCTGTTATGATTTGGCAATGAGATTTCACATTTAACCTGGGAGGCCGATGCTAAATCCCTGATCATCTACTGGGACATACTGGTGAGCACCAAAATAGGTCACTATCTTCCAACCTAAATCAGGCATTAGAATTAAAAGACTAATGCAATTGTGAGGACTCTGGCAGATGAAAAGGACCAAGATATTTTGCACGCAATTCATACTCGACATGGTAAATAAAACTAAAATTTGGCACAGCCATACTCCGATAGTAAAAGTTGAGTGTCATCAATAGTAAAAGTCGATTGCACTATCGCCAATTTTGATTTGAACTGAGCAGAGCCAAGCCCTGCTTATGGCTTTCAGGTTCTGCTGGCATTACCTGAAGGATGCAGGCTTCGTACCCTCTCTTTTGAGCTTTGAGGATGCACCCACCAAAAAGCCTGTTTTCTGTGATCCATCTCCCACAGCACCTTACTGCTGAAGGGTTAACAGCTTTGGGAGATTCTAACTCATAACACATTCACACAAACTCTCAATCCATTTCCCTGCCTGAGTAGTAAAAACACATGGAATACCTTGTAGCTTTGTGGTTTGCAAAGGTTTGCAAATCCAGTTCACTCGTTCATATGAAATAGTTGGTTATCTTAACTTCCTGCAAATCTGATCTATATCACCGCATGTTTAAGTCATACAAGCAAATATGCGAAGTTGCGATCTTGCTCCTAGTGACATCCCTTCAGCTTCAACCAAAGCGGATGAGATCTTAAGATCGATACCTGGGTTCGCTTCCGCAACCTTTCCACCTAACATGTGCTTTTGTCAGTAATCCCACACATTATCTTCAATAGTATTCCTGGTATTATCAAAATTCTGACCACATAATAAGTGAAGCTTTGATAAAAGGCTCTCTAACTAGGAATTCCTTTTGTATCCTATTTTATGCCATTCAAAGAGCCAGTGTGGCACAGTGGTTAAGAGCGTGGGACTGGGACTCAGATGATCTGGGTTCGAGTCCCCGCTCGACCATGGAGCCAACTGGGTGACTTTGAGCCAGTCACAAACTCTCGGCCCAACCTACCTCACAGGGTGCTTGTTGTGGGGATAAGGAGAAGGAGAACGATGTAAGCTGCCTTGAGCCCTTTGTAGGAAAAAGGCAGGATATAAATTGAAAAACAAACAAACAAATGGTGGGTTCAGAAAGCTTTCTTCCATGTGCACTGAGTTTTGCTGTTACACTGTGGTGAAAAAGTCCAATGGAATTAGATTATCTGAAGGGATCCAACATGGGGTGAATTCCTAATCCAGCACATGTTGGATAAGCCACAGCAAACTAGTTTATGCATAGGACGTTGCCCTTTAGAACCTCCAGTTTGTGGGAAGGCGCCTGGCTCAAACATTCTTGTCACAACATGGAGACTGCCTGGCAGAAGAAGAGCAGAAAATGTGGCTATTTTATACATATTATCTTACCATAGCAATTGCAAAGATCACTGAGGTTGCTTTCACAAATTGATTCGTGATGGCTGAAACTATTTCTAAGGGTGGGCTCATTATTGCTCCTCTGACCTGAAAATGCTGCTTTTTCATGGAACAGATTTTGTTTATAGTACTACGAGGTTGAAAATCCCCTCAATTTACACCCCGTGCTCTAAAAGAAGCAATTTACACCCCATGCTATGAAACAGTCTAGAAATATTTTCCTTAAATAAAGACAGAATTTTCCACGGACCGAACTTAATCCTCCCAACTCATCAATCTCTTCTCCATTAACCGTGTTCTCACCTGATTCGGGTACAGTTGGCAGAAAATTCCTCATTATTTTTCATTCCTACTTCGAAGCAATTGCAATTTTCACACATTCATAAATTAAGCCCTTTCAATCAAATCTAGACAATTCCCAAAATGCTGGGCTTCATTCTAGGGATTTGCAACCTCTTGCTGGGCTGGCAAGAGCTGGTGAAAGTTTCATTCCAGCAATATCTGAAGTTCCTTACCCTGTTCTAGGGAAATTTCATTATCAGCCTAAAAATCAAGTTTAACAGATGTCTAAAACAGGGCTCCATGCTCTACAACCACATACAAACACATTCTGAATGTGTGGTAGTTACCGGAAACCAGAGATTAAGGATACCAGACGGATGCCTGGGGCGCCTATTTCAGATAGTGCAAATTCTACGACCAAGTCATTCTCTACCATCAGTCAGATATTCAAATATGACTTGAGGACAGAAGCCAGCGGGATTCCAGACGTTCCTCACTCTGCAATATTGGACTGCAGATCTGGAGGGCATGCAGGTAAGGCTCTGGGGAGGGGGAAAGCATTCTAGTGATGGTTTCCATTCTACTGGCCAAAGAATCCAAGGCATTAAACTTGCAATTTGTTCCCAGCCTTGCTATTGAAAAAGGGGCACAGACTAACCCCCTGGCTGCCCTAAAAATCCAGGCTGCAACAAGGGCATTCATTTAGATTTCTTAAGTGATACACGGCAGGTGCACTGCGTGGCAGTCATAGATGTTTGCATGCAGATGCAAATCAACACCCCAAAGGTCATCAAAAATAATGCACAAAACAAAACACAAATAAAAGCAAGTACATTATTTGAATACTGTTAACTTGAAAATATCGGTAAGTTTGTGCCCACCAATTTGCCATTCACCCAGAAAAAATAATGCCTATCCTGGAACCCACGCAAATGTATTCAGTTTTAGCCAGGTAAAATAAAGCAACTGTTGCAACCGAGGGGAGGGAATCACAAGAACCTGCCTCGTCTCCTTTACTGTTCTGTAATAAAGTAAGAAACACGAAGCCATCCAGTCATCCAAATGCATCTGCGTTCACAGGAAGGTGCAAGTAAACACCGCTCTGTCAAATCGCTAAAACCTCAGCAAACATGAAGGCTAGAATTTCAGGAGAGGGTCTTGGAATATCCAAGGGTCATGAAGCTGCAGCTCTTAATACTACCATTCCTAGGAACAGTCCTGGACTGTTCTAAAGCAAGCTGGATTTAAAAATTCGGTAACCTTTTAGTGGTTTTCTGCAGCATCTTAATTTTATGTACAAGGTTTTATGATCTGTCACTAAAGCATCAAAGTTTTCAAATATATTCCTCCAACTTGTTGAATGTACAAGCTAGTAAGATATCTCCAAAGCATTTGGAAATACAGGCCCATAGAAAACTAAGCCATTCCATTGCTAAGAACAGCGCATTTAGCCTTTCCCTCTATTTATGTTGACGGCATCGAAGATGCTGTTGGACTCCAACAGCCCTTTAAAGGCCTAGCTAAAAATAAAAGTATGCTCTGATTGCAAAACATAATTTCAGTTTCATAATTTCATTCTCCAAAAATAGTTTCTTAATACTGCATTCCAAAAATGTAGTCTAGATCTAGAACAAAATCTACTGGGATAGATTGGATGCTACATTAACTTAAATTCATCCTGAGAAGGAAACAGAAATAAAAACAAAGGCCTAGGTAAACATCAGGCTCAAAATAAACAATGGGAAGAGTTCGATCCACCCTAACGACCTTTTGAGTTTTCTTTAAAATAACAAGCAAGAATTCAATGTCGCAAGTTTGCAGTTTGGAACAGCTAACTGCTACATCAAGACAAACCCAATGTGAAGCAGGTGCAGCTGGTGCTTTATAATAGGGTGAGCGTGGGTATGAATGCAAATAAATTTGCTTACAAAAACAAATGGAATACCTGCAAGTGGAATAACCACAGGATAGAATTTACGGCACAGGAGAAATGCTACATCATTTTTCCTAACTCTTTCAAGAAGTTGCTGGGATTAGAATGGATCCCACCCACCCTAGGGATTTGGTAGCTCCATTTCCCCATTCACTCAGGGGGTTGAAATTCTGTGGCCCTCCAGACACGCTGGACAACTTGCAGAGCCTTCGACTACTAACTACCCTTGCTGGGGGTGATGGGAGATGTAGTCCAAAATATTTTAAGGGCATTGCATACTTTTGAAAATTTGAAATGTGTGGGGCACATGAAATAACACAGGACAATTGATCCCATGACTGTTGAGGGGTAGATGGAATATAAAGTTGTCCGTGTCTGTTTAAAAAAAAATTACAAATATTTAAACCAGCCAATAAGGTCCACAGGAGCCCTATTAGCATATAAGGGTTAAAAGAGCAATATAAAAAAACAGCTATGAATGAATCACAGTCATGTCTATGTTGCAGTGGATTTAGCAGCTTTCATTTGAGCTCGTTACACTATAAATCTTTCCTGTAAAAAGAGCTGCCATGCACCACTGCAAAATATTTTCTTTCAATGTGAAGTTGAAATATGGCTGACTTGGTGGTTTTAGTGCGTTCCAGACAGCCATGAAAATAAATCTGGCATGCAGTCGGAGTACGATCCCCTTTCTGAATATTCGGTTAGGTAACAACATGGCGTAGGGTCGGGGATGGCAGGTAAGCTGTGCAAGCCCCACGCAGAGAGGTGCCCCAACTCCCCCCATTTCCTCCCCCAGACTCACTCCCTTTCGTCCCTTCCGCCCTCCGCTCTGACCCTCTCCGCTTGCACAGCCATCCTGCCACACCAAGCTTTGCACAGCATGTCGGCCACACCTGTAGCCCTGTTTCTTCGGAAATGCGGGCAAAGACGGAGTATTCCGCGGGTGCAAAAACTGGAAAATAAAGTGCACCCTCTGCAGTCATTCATCTGCTGGGCCAGTTGCCAAGAGAAGTGGCCCTCCTCCAAAATCAGTGTTTGAAGGAGGAACAAATTCTACTTGCTCTGTGAAGTAAAAACCCAAGCCCCAAATGTTTACTGGTGCATCCACAGGTCACAATGGCATACGCCTTATGAGCTGAATTCCAAATATCTGGATAACCTGGAAGCACCTTCAACACTCGAGAATACACTGTGTCCTGATTGAGCAACCTGTATACAAAGCCCTCATTTTCAAACTTCCAAGTCAAACTTCAGAGTGACATGAGTTGTGTGTACACACAGAAATGTATCATTCTCCTTGGTCCCCATCCAGCCATCCCTCTATTCGCTCTGTTGCTCTGGCGATTTCCTGAGCTGCCCTTTGTGATATTCTTATCTGTCTGTCCATATTTAGTTGCCTCCTCTCTGCCATTTCGAAAGGGCAGTGTCAGAGTTCCCCACAAGAAGACTGGCCTTGTCCTTGTGGCGGTGATGGTGAGTCACATCCTTGGAACTTATTAAAATGCAGCCTTTACAATGAAGAACACCTGTTCAGCTCCCGAAAGAAAATACAATTTGGTGCCACAACTGAAGAGACTCTGACTTGGTTCACATGATTGAAACAGCTCCCTTTTGGTTATTTAACCCACACCGAGTTGTGCTGCGTGCATTGTGCATATTTAGCCCTTGGGCATCGGTTGCTGTGCCATGTGAAACCAGTAGATGGGGTTTTGTGAGAGTTAACTGACTCTGTGGTCTGGGTTGTCCGTTGTTGGGCTTATGGGACAGTTCCTGAATATACAAAACGCCAGTCAGCACACACTTCAGTTCACTGTGGTTTGAACGACCCACTGTGAACTGATGGTGCAAACCAGCCCAGATCACAGCCCATCTGACCTCCTGCCAAACGGCTCTCCTATACGGACTGTAAAACCAACAGAAGCTTATATGGGAAAAGAAGGCTCACCTGGATTCCCGTAGGATTGGACAATGTCTTAAAGGATTGCTTCACTGGGCTGGGAAATACAATGGATGCCCAAATGTTTTACTGCCACTTAGATCCTCAAGCAAGGGAAGGAGAGCAGAGGGGGCAAAACTGCCATGTTTGAACTCACTGAGATTCTCTAAATTCTTCCTTGGAACTTGTTTTGCCCTGTTTGTATTTCCAAATGTGAACCTCATTTTTTAATTTGGAAAAATGGTATGTATTTGGCATTCATATGTTTAAATTTCAAAAGATTTATATCTCACTTATTCTCCTAAGAGGCTGACAACAAATACATGTTTAACAATTGAAAGCATTCCTCCATAGTGAGGGAATAGTAGCAGAAGAACACAATGCACCAAAATTTTGGAATCAATCAAGGGAAAATCAGCCTGGCAGAACTGCTTTTAAATTCTCAAGAAATGTTCATGGTATCATAAATCTCACATGCAAATATATGCAAAAGTACAGTGGTACCTTGGCCCAAGAACTCAATCCGTTCCAGGACTCTGGTCATGACCCAAATTGGTCGTGAGCAGTCAAATTTCCCCATAAGCGTCAATGTAAATAGGGTGAATCCATTCTGCAACTATCTTCTTTACTCACAAAAATGTGAAGCAAAGTGACAAACAACAACAAAGATCGTGGCCATCTCCCCCCCGCCCCAGCAATCGTGCGAGGGGGTGGGGGGAGACGGGCGTGATTGCAGACACATGGGGGCAGAGGTGCGTGCGGGGGGGAGGCGGGGGCGAGCGCATTTGGGCAGGGAACACAGGTGCAATCACGGCCATCTCCCCCCCAGCATGACCACACTCGTGCCCGTGCAGGGAAGGCGGGCGTGCTCACAATCGTCACCCGATGCAGAGTTCAAGACCTGCAGCAAAATTTTTATGAAATTTCTGTTCGCAACCCGATCTGGTCGTTTGTGAGCCGGGGTACCATTGTACATGTTTGCTAAGGGGTAAACATGTTCTTTCAAAAAAAAATTTCTAGATCAAATGTTAATGTCTCCAGGAACTTTACAGGTCTGAAATTATTTGGAATGGTGCATTAACACAGTGACATTAAATTTAGCTTCCAAAAGGCAAAGCAGCGCAGCAGAAAATTGACTGTTGAATATTTGTATAAATGAACCGCCTTTTCTTTGAGGGAAATGGCTGGCCTGCCTATCTAATGTAACAATAGCTTCCAGGCCACAATACAAGCTAGTGCACATTTTTGGTTCACACGTGGTACAGGCTTAGCGTGCTGCAATCAGTGATCACTAACCAGTCAATACCATTTTAAAATACCTGACATACTTCCTTGGAATTACCCAATGACTTCCAGATAGCTTATTTCCAGCATATATACTTCTTGAAAACCCATGAGCCAATCTTTCTGTCTCTGATACAGGCACAGATGTACAACTGCGTTTTATTACATCTCTTCCTGAACAGCCACCACCAAGCCAATAATACATCTACCTCAGGATCCTCCCTCCAGTTTTGAAAGACACCATGTAATGGAAAGCACTATTTTTGATGATCTATTTGTGACAGCAATTCGAAAAACTGAAACCACAGTGGTGCTCCATATTCCCCGTTCCCTGCTGCTGCCCCTCCCCACACACAATATTTTCTAGTTCTTAGATCAGATATTCAAGAGGCCAGCGCTGGCACTTGTTCTGCTTCTCCGTCTTAGGCTTGCTTCAGAACCGTCCAGATTTTCTTACCTTATATTCTGAACAGAAGGATTCAGTGTGTCTTCCATCATGTTACCAGTGACAGCTGTGTGTCCTTCTGGGATGGACTGCACTGGTTGCATTAAATGAACTGTCCGATAAAGCTGAGTTGGATGTACTGGCTGAGCTGACGGCACTGTCCTCAACATTTCTGATGCCATAGGAGGCTGCAGTTCCACAGACTGCTTGAGTTTGGTAGACTTGGGGTTAACAGGTATCTTTAAAACAGCAGTAGATCCGCCTCTTGCCCCCATATTGGAAGACACTTTGGCCTTGCCCACTTGGTTTCGGTTAGCCAGAGGTGCTGACAGTAGAGAGGAATCAGGGGAGTCTGTACTGGAACTTGGATCATCCTCATCATCAATGTAGATTAGGTCTTTTGGCATTTCTTTAAACTGATAGACCAAACGCTGCCCTTCTACTTTGGCCAGGATGCCTCTTTGGTAATAGTACCTGTTCAAAGGAGGAAAACACATCAAAGGTGACACACAAATACATAACGGGAAAAACCCATGCCTAAGTGACTGAGTTAATAAAAGATTACTCCATGGATGTACCGTTTAGAATGCATTTGAATAAATTTCCTTTGAGGAACAAAAAGCTGTTCAACAGGCGCTTAAAAGACGGCACAACGAGCACCAAGCGACTTTTAACCTTTTCAAGTGATTTGGAACTCAAGTTCAAACTGTAGGAACAACAATTTTGGATGAACGATCATAAATATTTAGAAATGATAATGATGCATATTGTTACATACATGTTGAAATTATGCCTGTCTTAGCGCAGAATACTTTCAATCCAATGATACACATTTTCAGGTGAGAGAATACTGATATTTTCTTAAGTTCACATACCTGAGGGCTCTGCCCATTGTTTCGTAATTCATATCAGGCTTGTTTTTGTGCTTTCCCCATAACTTTGAAACAGCCTTGGAATCTACCAATTTAAAAATGCCCTTCTCTCTTTGAGTCCATTTAATGTATTTAGGACAAGTAGCTTTGTCCTGAAGCAGTGCTAGTAAGAATTCCCAGAGATAAATTGTGTTTCCTGGAACAGATAAATGAAAAGCTTTTCAAAAAATAAATATGCACCACATACAAGGATCCTGATTTTGACAGTAAGACATAACTTTCCTAAGGGGTTGCATGCTTATGCGGATTTCTTTCAACATACAACTATTTCCTGGTTTGGACCTTTAATTTGCCGTGTGCGGAGTGCACTATTTGCGGATGTATTGCCATGTGAACCAGCTCCAAAACGACGAGGGCCTCCAAGTGCCACACATGTCTGAGAACTCCTGGCAGTTCAGAGCGAATTTTATTTTATGACCATAGTATCCTACATGGCAACAAGTCCTTGCGTGCCAGCAGAAGCATTTCAGCCACCTTTCTAAAGGATCTGTTGTATCCATTCTGATTCTCACGAAATACTAAATTCACTCGCCCGAAATCTCATTTGATTTTAATGCTTCATGAAGAATAGTACTACTGGTCTGATACTGCCAAAAATCTGTGGAGAACCATCTATACCTTAGGAAAACAGTGCAATATAGTACTGAAAGGTAATCCATGCTCTGGTCGTCTCTAAACTGGACTTCTACGATGCACTTGACATCCTTTACTTGAAGACTGTTCAGCACTTTGTGTATACCGTTTATGTGGTATACACAAACACACACAAGTCAGATGAAAGGTCAAGAAACTCCTTTCGTTTTCCCCCACCCTCTAGGATTAAAATAAATCACCCAGGGCATCATAGCTGGAATTTTTGTTTCCCAGAATTTGATCCATACAGCTGTGCTCCACAGTCCTCAGCTCATAACATTTGCGCTTACCCTTCCCATCTTTATTTTTCTTTTTCACCGATATATTTGGAGTCAGCGTAGGTGACTCTGATCGAGCAGCTTTGGGTTTCTTCCCTGAAAGAAAAGCGAGTGTTATGCAAATTCCACATGGCAACCACGAAGGAGGCATGGCACGCTCCATTCAGTCATTGCCCACAACCGAATTATATTAATGTCTTTACTGAATTTATTTCCGGCCTTTCTTCACAGAAAGGTCATTTTTTGCTTTGCTTTTTCATCAACAGCTATGAGACTCAAAGTTGTCAACTGAGCAAAAGGGTGGGAAAGGTGGCAATCAGGTCCAACTACCAAAGCTTATACACAGAACTCTTCATGTTGTTTTGCCAGCAAAAATCCCCTCATGGTTTCACTTCTTACTTGTTAGCTTGCTGCTTGACAGCTGTCAAATGAGAAGCCAAACAACAGAACGGTCTATTCATAGTTTTGCTTTGTCAATGTGAGAAAAGCTTTGAAAACATTGTGCCAACTATGTGGCATTCAACCACAAGTACAGACATTTCAGAAGCCTCCAAATTTCAAATCGGAGTCCTGTAGTCCTACTGCTTCTACACACTACATCTTCACAAACTATTTCTACACAAAAGTTCATGGTGTTTCTTGCTTGGTTGCTCTTCTAAAACATACAGTACCTGTAATACAAAGCATAGTTGCTTAACTAAGATAAGTTTATTCTACTTTCCAGATGGTCTAACTAACTAAACTGATTTGAACCTTTTCCAAAATACACTGATCGCCCTACACCCAGATATGAAACTCTCCGTGTAGGCTGCTGTTTAGCACACTGTAGTGTCTCCTTACCCTTTCTCTTCTTTGGTTGCTCAAGTGCTAGAGTGCTTGGTGATTCAGCAAATGCATCTTGGACTTGGTGCACCTCAACCACTTCGGGGATCCCATCCAGTGTTACTGACACTTGAGTAATAGGACCAATGTCAACATCATCCTCTGTCCCAAATACGTGTGCTTCAGAAAAACAATGGAGAGGTCACGCCACACTTGAACAGTTCTAGAATACCTTCTAGCTATCAGGTTAACCCTGCTCAGAACAAAAATTCAAGGCTGTTGACTAAGATAGCCTACTGAATCTGAATAATCTTAACTGATTAATTGATAGAATCTCATTTTTAATTACAGAATTTCTATACTGTGGCTATTTTGAAGCTAACCCAACCTTACAGGAATGTTGAGACGAAGCCAACAAAAAAGAATAAATCTTATAGTTCCCCAAATCTGCACTTCATGAGGTGTATGACGTGGAAGATTGCATCAAGGGGAAAACCAGTGAGAAGTTTGCTAACTGGCAATGTGAATGACACAGAGAACAAAACATGCATGAATGTTAAATATTTGAGTATGCCACCTTAATTTTCTAAAATTAGGGGATTGGCACAAAATGAATGGCTTATTAATGAACTTGCTGAGAAGATAAGGCAAATTTCTTCCCCAGTCTGCCCCACAGTGCAATGGCGTAACCGCCAAGGGAACTGCTAGATAATTTAAATAGCTTCTCTTGTAATATCTGCTTTCTGCAGAATCCAGTTTCAAAAACCACAGACACACCACCTTTAAAAAACCCACATTTTTATATATTGGCTGAAGCTCAGTCCAGGTAAGATGGAGGTCCTGTTGGTGAGTGGTTTGAGTTTCTGGGTCAGTGACCTGGGCCCTGCCCTGGACGGGGTTGCACTCCCCCTAAAGGACAGGGTCTGCAGCTTGGAAGCACTCCTCGGCCTGGAGCTGTCCCTGGGAACCCAGGGAGGAGCCATTTCCTTCCGCTACGGCTGATCCATCAGCTGCATCCTTACCTGGAGGAGAACTGCCTGGCAACAGTGACACATGCACTGGTTACCTCCTGCTTGGACTACTGTAACGCGCTCTACGTGGGGCTGCCCTTGAAGATGGTCCGGATGCTTCAGATGGTGCAAAATAGAGCTGCCAGGATGCTGCCGGGGACTGGGAGTTATTCTCACATAATTCCAGTCCTCTATCAGCTACATTGGCTTCCCATTGAAGTCTGGGCTCAATTCAAGGTGCTGGTTATTACCTATAAAGCCCTAAACAGCTTGGGACCAGGATACCTAAAGGAATGCCTTTTTCCCTACATGCCCTCCTGCCCTCTAAGATCGGCAGCAGAAGCTCTCCTCCGGGAACCCTCTTCGAAAGAGGTTAGGAGACAGAGTACTTGGAGGAGAGCTTTCTCTGCGGTGGTGCCCTGACTATGGAATGCGCTCCCTAGAGAGGTCTGCCTGGCACCGTCATTATATGCTTCTTGGCACCAGGTCAATACCTTTTTATTTGACCAATATTTTAATGATCCAAATTAATTTTAATTGTATATTTATTTATTTATTCATTAATTTAATTCATTTTAACCATGTCATTTTATACTCAGTCGTGGTGAAGCCAATTTATTTTGTTTAGGACTGCATATTGTTATTTGTTTTTTGGCACCAGGCCAAGACCTTTTTATTTAAATGTCATTTTAATTGTTAATATTAGTTACTGATTTTATATCTTTGGTCATGATGTCTCCAATTATATTGTTATTATATTGTTTTTATTATATTGTTTATAGTTATATGCCTGATATGTATTTATTGTCATGAGCCGCACCAGGGCTTGGACGAATGGGGCGGCATAGAAGCTCGCTCGCTCGCTCGCTCGCTAAATAAATAAATAAATAAATATTGTACTTGGGGTTTTAATGTCTGTAAACCACCCAGAGAGCCCTCTGGGCTATTGGGGTGGTATATAAATGCAGTCAGTCAGGGAGTCAGTCAGTCTTGCTCTTTTACATAGGACATTTTTCTCAGATGTATTCCGGTTAGACTCACTTGATCTCTTCCCATCAAGCATTGGGTCAGGAGAATCCATATTGAGAAGGGCCTCAGCAGCTTCAATGGTTTGCATTGTCTCATCTCCATTATGGCAGGATGCTTCAACTGAAAGTCAGAGAGGAGGAGGCAGAAACAAGACAGAAATTCAGAATTTGTAAGAATTCTAGCGCGAAACCTTTAAAAAGAACTCTTTGATTTTGGCTTCATTCCACATAGGATCCTAGGATGTAACTATGAACAGCAAGAAGAGAAATTGTCTGTATCTCCTTTCAGCCACTCCTGCAATAAAGAAATTCCACCATGCCCAGTTCTTTTTATACATCCCAATTTTCACTTATTATTTATTATTTACTTACTTCACTTCTGCTAATTATATGTAAGTCCAGTGCCTATAAGCTTCTCAGCTGTCAGTTTTGTTGGAAAACAAAGATGGACAGATGGCCATTTTGTCTCCAGATTTCAGTGCGTGCTTGCTACTTTTGTGCTAAAAAGCCGGTGTGGTTCTCTCCAGCTCTCCTGGGTACAGAAGCAGGGGCCCTGGGGCAGAACCTCAAAATGGTAGCTCAACCACAGTAACCACAGGAATGCGCTCCCCAGAGAGGTCCGCCTGGTGCCGTCGTTATTTGTTTTTCGGTGCCAGGCTAAGACCTTTTTATTTAAAACTTATTTTAAGTGTTAATTTATTGGTTATTTGTAGGATTTTAAATTGTTTAAGCCAAGATGCACTGGGTTTTAATATTTTTATTGTATAATTTTGTTCCTGTTGTAAGCCGCCCTGAGGCTTTGTTGCAATCGGGGCAGCATAAAAATGTTTTAAATAAATAATCAAGAAGACTGGAGAAAAATAAGCTAAACGCACCTAGAGATCATTTATAGTAACTTGTATATACGTGTTGTACACTGATGATTTAAAAGAAAAAGAAATGGTAGGAATTCCAAAGAATTAGAACAGAGGCTTTGGTCCAAAGAACTGCTTGGGTCCATGTAATGAGCTTGTGCTGGTCTGGTGGAGTTTTGTTTGTTTGTTTGTTTTTACTCTTTTCTTTAAATAGGCAATGCCCAGATAACACCATGAACTGCTCTTGAAACTGAGCTAGTTTCAAACGCAGCTTCCAGAAAGCACGTGCCAAAAACACTTCTGAGCTCAAGGAACCTTTTTCAGCATGCTTCAGATCCTGGCTAATGCAAGTTCGCAGATTTAACTTCCTCTGAATGTTTACCAAACACAAAATGAGCAGTGTGGCAAGATCTTCCGGGAGCAACATGTCATTCCCTTTCTCATCCATCAATTCCTTAGGGACACAACATCAAAGCAGGCTCAGCAGGTTTTATTTACAGACTCCTGCCAGTAACTTCCCTCGCTACAATCCAGTTACAGAGTCTGAAGTTCTTCTTGCCACAGGAGAGAACTCCGCCTGTTCCTCTTGCAGCTCCTAATCCTGAGTCTAATTGCTCAGTCTCCTAATTGCTCTCAGTCTGACTCTGCCCTCTAGTCTTCAGGAACCTCCATGTCTTGTTTCTCTAGTGAATCTTCAGATAGCAGGCTTCAGCTGCACCATCCCCTTTCCCTCATTCCCTTTCCATTCCCGTCATTAGTCAACTCTGGAATGGGCTGCTAGTCCTCAGTGACTCCCAAGGGCATCCTCTCAGTTGGGCTCCTTGGACAGAAAGTTCATGGTAGCAGTGAAGTTAGGACTTGCCTGAAGAAATTGGTCTAATCAGAAGCATCACTGAAAACTACGGCTTGGTGTTCTATCTGAATTGACAAACCATCGTTTTGACTAATACTTTGCTTCAAGCATATGCTACAGCATGAAGAAGCTGAATTTCTACTTTTGAAGCTGGGTACTAAAGAGGGAAACAAAAGCAAAGAAGCAGCTGTTACGTATATAAACTGCTCCAGGAGACTTTTCGCCTGAAGACGAGCCAACTATTTGGTGTGAAGCAAAAACTGTGCCACTGACTTGACTCGTGGCCTCGCTACCTCCCACCATGGCTTATGTAAGCCTGCGACGCCTGCAGGTGCCACGCTGCGTATGTAAGCCACGGTCTGTCACGTCATCTGAACGTGGGCGGCAGGGACTGTCGAAGGGTTACATGATCTTCAAACAGCCACTGGTGCCCAGGTTTGGATGACACAACCAACTGTGCCACCACCTGCTGGGGACTGCCTAGTCGAATGCTTGCCTGATCACACCACTTCCTGAAGCCACTGTGGGCTGGAGGGATCCGAACACCGCAAGTCACAACGGGAAAAGGCCCACGAACCTGTGAGGGTGATGTCATCGTCTTCTATGATTTCTTCTTCTGCGACATCCAGTGACGTTTCCGTTATCATGTCATTGGGCTCGGCAACACAGGATAAACCAGAGTAATTGTTCAGGAGATCCGCACTCGGCACATGTTCCACAATGACAGCGGGAAAGATTGATGGGTCACCCAGCTATTAATCAAGGGGAAAGACAAAGCAAAAGCACTGCTTTATCAGTGAACGACTAGGGTACCCAAACAAAGCATCGTGACACAAACTGGCTCCAGTGTTGCTTAGCTAACCTAGCCAAGTCAGCTGGAAAAATGTGTTGCTTCCTAAGAGCATCCTGAAGTATACCTGCGCTGGTTCGTGCAACACCTGAGCCCTGCTTTTTGGTGCAGATGTGGCCCAGAGATTACGAGTCTGCAGCTGATGAGTCTGCAGACCCACGACCAGGTCAGTCTGCCCAAAGGAAGCTGGTTCACAGCCACTGCAACACCGCCATGCCAATACACAGTCACAGAATTAAGGAGGGGATTCCCATGCCACCAGCGGGCCAGGGGCTCATTCTTCACTGGCCTTCCAAGGACCTGGGTTATCAGATTCCAAAGGACACTGAAGAGGAGGCAATGCGGGGGGGGGGGGCAGGAGGATTGAAGGGGGAAGGAGCTGTGGAAGCCCAAAGTTGCTGCCCACAGCTCTCCAGGCCGACTGTGAGAGCAGGCACGCCTTGGAAGAGCTGGGAGGGGAAAGGAGGCAGCCCAGGAAAGAAGCGGGCCATTGCTTCAGAAATCTGAAGGACAAAACAGTCCAGGGCAAGATCACCCGCCAACGTTTTCTCACAAATGTAGCTCAAAATTACCCCAACCAAAATATCCGGTCCTCCTGGGAGAATTATCTGAATGGAACAGAACATAATAAGAGAATCAAAACCATGAGAGAGAATGGCACACCCCTTCTCTTCCCTTCTCATGGCTGACTGGCTCCTCCACTACTGAAAACACACAGTGTTTGAAAGATCAAGAACATTCTGCAGAAGGTACAGTTCCTTCCTTGTCATTTTTCTAATACTTTTTACCATTTCCGATTTGCACTAAGTATAGAATTGTGAGATGAAATTCAGATAAACTGTGCTTACCAATAAACTCTAAAACATGGTTTGCAAAGTATGTGTTGGATGTTTAGGAATCACAGTCAACTACGTTGGAGCAGTTTAGAAAAGATGCCACATCGAATCAACCAAACCACATTTAAGTATATCCTTTCACTCTGATATTCCAGCTGCATACAGAACATCCGCATCCTCAGCCCAAGGACGGGGAATCACCTTTAGACCAAGGGCTGAATCTGGTTTTGGAAAAGCTTGCGGGAGCCACACTCCAGTGGTGCGCAGGGCCAAAATCAAAAGGCAGAGAGGAAAAAATGCACAAGATATTTACTACTGGTAACTAGGAGAGGTTAAAATGAAGAGAAAACTGCAGAAGAGCCAGGAAACTACCCAGCAATTGGCCGGGGGAAACAGGGTGCGTGGCCAACCTTTCGGGCATCTCCAGAGGGCTACATTCAGATCCCAGGAGGACCAATTTGACTCTCAGACCTGAGGTTTCACCTCAGCTTCTCCAGCTCTAGCATCTCTTTCTGGGAGGCATCCTGAGTTTTTACAAAATCCTGGTTTGGGTAGGAAGCAGAGTCCTCTTTCTCCCGAATATCCTTTTTAGGGGTGGGGGCAATGGCATTTTGCAGACTTTAAAAATGTTATACCGTAATAATCATTCACACTTATTCCCCTCTCCTTTGGCATGCTATTTCCAAACCTCAACAAACTGCCTATCCCCCCCCCCCACCCGCACATCCCTTGGCATTTTGTTTCAGCAACAGGCAGTATTGGGAAGGCTCTCTCAGAAGTCAGGCCACAGGAATTACAAAAACAAGATCTACAAGAAATCCAGAAGCATTTTAAGCCATCAGCCTCCTATCAGGCAGGCCTCCTCAAAGAAAATGGAGCAGACAGCACCAGAGAGATGGCTTGGTCCAAAGAGACAGAAGTCACAGGAGAGAGACACAGAGAACCACAAGCATTAAGCAGCCCAGAACAAGTTTCTCCGAGGGCATACAGTTCAGTTGCTGATAGGACTTGGACTTTGGATTCCTTGATGGCTCACAAATACAGGTATTACATTTATACATTTATGTGCTTCCTCTAAGAAGCCCCTTTCTCCCTATAGCAATCTTGTGGGTTAGGCTAGGCTCCAAGTCACCCCAAGAAGTGGAAATTTGAAGCTAAGTCTTTCCAATTATAACCCAACAGATGACCTCCACAATGGTTACCTAGTAAAATAGAATGCCAATTAACAGTAAAGCTTGCTTTAAGGTCTAGCAATCTGTACACTCAGGTTAATGGGCAGAAAGGTGGGTATGTGTTGTAAAAACACAAGGTTCTGTCCTGGTAACGAAGAAGGCATCCCTATTAGTTTTCTAAATCTAGTACATCTAGAATTCAGCATATTGGTACAAGTGAGAATTTTGGAACAACTCCAAATTGGGTTAAGCTACAAAATTCTGTGTAAATATGATGTTTCAAAACTTCCCTAGGATATGGAATCCATAAAACTATCCAAAATACAGTTGTACAAGTCAACTGGCCTCTTTAATTCATTACTTCGTGAACTGACTCACAGTAATGGCCAGATTACACCCACCTGCAAGTTTAGTGGAGAACATGAAAGTCACTTTTTAAAAATCACAACATTGTTCATAGTTTATGAGATACGTGGGATATTTTCCAGCAGATAAACTTGTCTGTTAAGAGGAGACCTTCCTGTTTTAGGTAACGATCTAGTGGAATCAATATTGATCCCTGCCCATTGAAGCAACTGCCCTCCAACAGGCCTCCTCCTCAGGTGGAGGTGGAAACAGTGGGAGGGAAGGCAAGGGAAGAGAAAGCACCTCCTACCCTGTATTCCAACCAACTCCGCAGCACTGCAGCGGAAGCATGAAAAGAGACCGGGGTTTTGTCTGTCTGACCAGTCTGGCATGCTGCATCTGTGGCTTAGCAAAACTGTTGATGAGCAACCCGTGATACCGGCTTTACACATAATCGCCACCCATGGTTTATACAACCTGCATCCGTAAGCGCTCAACAAACCATAGTTTCTCCGTGGGCAAGTTTGTGGTTAACAACCGTAGTCAGCTCCATGGGTTGCTGAATCACACGTTTTCAATATCTACAAGTATGAGGTAACTATGGGCTGTTGTCAGGTTGGGAAACCTTGGTTGTTTAAACAATGGGCTATCATTCTGGGCAAAGCCAGAACCGTGGCTGTTCATGGGTTGTTTCACAAAAGCACAGAGGTGGCCGGCAAAACAGTAATATAACAAAGCCACTCCATACACCAGCACTTCAGTGTTGCCAGGGCACGTGGGGAACGCAGAGGGAGCCAGCAAGAGAGCAGGAATTAAAGAACCCAAGCATTCACCAAACAGCCAGCGGTCTGCCTGAGACTGTGGATGAGCCCTTAAGGCAACAAACCACGGGCAAATTACACCATGAACTGTCCCTGCATGCGAACCCTGTCACTGCCTTTGGGGCGATGGTGCAGTCTGTTGGGAGAAATGACCATTAATTTATTGCCTCTGCATTCCTTGTTAGGATATCATACCCCTTTTATTCTGCCAGTTTGCTTCTTCAGTGCTTTTAATTACTCGTGGGCAACTTGAGTTTCAAAAAACATGTTGAAAAGTGTGATGCTGCATTTGCTCAACATGCTAACTGTGCCAATTCAGCGCGTGTTTACCCAAGTCAACGCCACCATGTTCAACATGACTTACTCTCTGGGGAAGTTCAGGGGCCTACAAATGCACCTTCTGGCTCACCAACAGGTAACACGTAAATAATATACTGAAACAATGGATGATGATAATGGATGATGACAACAATGAGGAGGAGGAGGAGCTGGTCACCACATCAGAGGCTGGGCTACAATGCTAATGCAGTAATGTCCACTCACAGTCTAAGAAAGAGAGGTGGACTAGCGGCTTATTCTGCAGTTGTGCCAGGCCTCTGAGATGCTTGGCGCCAACTGTTAAGACCTGCCGAAAACATGCGGACCCTGTTAATTTCTTGTACTATTATAGGTGAGGTAGTTAGAATGCCGTCCTGCAGCTAGGCTGCAGTTTGTTTCAGTCTTAGCCAACTTCCTCTTCTGCTGCAAAAAACAATTTCCCTTCTTAAAGGAGAAGTTCCAGACAACAAATGCAGCCCATAGGAAGAAACACTGAGAACATGGCTTTGCATTTGTACTTTACAAACTTTTTTGTCTATGCAGTCTTGACGGGTATTGTGAAAATCATTTTTTGCACTAAGAAACGAGTTATGAAACGTCTTTGATACTAGTAATGCAATCCACTTGGATGCAGGCCCCACTTACTTTGAATCCTGGATACATCTCTTTAAGATTGCAGCCTAGGAGTACCATCCATCTCCCAGATGGAATTAACATATTTAGCATAATCTTTCCACTGCAAACTTCATTTTCCATTTAGAAACTGTGGTAAGCATAATTGTCTGGTTACTGTTTACTTGTAACTACTGTGATTACTGTAATACACATCACTCTTGTGTGATTGCTTTTTTTTCTTGTATGTTATACAATTCACAAATAACGAAACAGCTTTGGACTGCAGTATTGCAGAATCGTGGCATTATTTGTTTTAGAACAGAATCCTATTTAACACTGGAGAGAAGGAAGATTCTTTCCAGAGATAAAAGGAAGTTTGTGCTTGCAGGCACGAAGAGTCTTAACAAAGAATCATTCCACCACAAAGAATCATAACAAGAATGTGGTACAGTGGTTTGCAATCAGCAGGTAAACCAGAATTAGAAACTGGCTTGAAATGACGGTACCAACCTATGGCTTGGCATGACACCTGCATTTAAGGAACTACGGCCAAATGGCCGGGGAACCACCTGCAGGGGCTGCTGTGACAGGGCAAGAGAAAGAAGGTTATGAAACTGTGAGGGCGGCCAACTCAAGCAGAGAAGCATCAGTAAACATGCTCTGGCTTGCCGCGCACATCTGGAAACTCACATCATGGTTTCGGTTCTAACTACATTTACCCAAACTGTGGTTTGCTGGGTTGCATGTCAGAAAGAAAGCTGCCCCGTCTGCGTCAGACCAGTTAACTGTTGACCC